ATACAGTGTTATTAGTAACTATAAAGGAAGTCAATGGGAAATAGATGAATCATTCGGTTTAAAAAATTTTAGCCTTTTTTTGAGATAAGCCATTATCTGACAAAAATAATCGGTTTTTATTTAATATTTTTAAGCTGTTTGTGTAATAAATGCAAAAAAAGCAGGGTCTAGCTAAGTTGGCTGCAGCAGAATGATGCTTGGTTCTCAGACGACTGCAACTATGCATTTGGCTTGGCCTACAGCTATTTGCTCCAGTCAAGGAGGAGCCTCTGAAGAACTCACCTATATTTAGGAATAAAATCTATTAATTATGAGATATCAAATCATAATGAGATATTTTTTAAAGAACTTCATTATAGTTTTTGCCTGATTTCTCTGGGTTTTTTAGCTGGGTTTTGTTTGGGTTTTTTTAATCTTCCATGAATGTGTGGCAGTTACAATACTGCTAGTATGCCCACACTTAGAAAATTAGGACTTATTGAGCAATTTTCCAGGTACTTTTATTGGATAATCCAAGTAGAGGTAAGTTATAAAAATGGTTTTTAAAAAAAGAGTATGAGTGAATAGACTTTGCCTAGCTCACAATATTTCCTAACTTTTAATGAACTAATTCAAACCCTAAACCTCCACTATGATTTTGCCTACACAACTCTGCCTCCATCATGCATCCTGCATGTCTGTGGCTTGTTCCTAGGACTCCTGTGGGTCTCCTGCCCCTCTCAATTATTAAAAGGTGGCTCTGGTAGAGAGAAACAATGAGTCATTTCTCTTGAATATCCACTTTGAAGAGAAAGCACAGAAAGCATAGATATTTTGCTCTTTCACACATTTTTCCTATCCCTAAGTATATAAGATGGCTTCTTCCTCCTTCCCCTCTTTTCAGCTAGGCATTTAGTGAAAGTCAAGGTTTCTAATGTTTAATCACAACAGAACATTTAATGAGGCATTCTTAGAGTTATCAAAATACCCACTTTGTCTCACTTTGAGACAAGCATTTGAGAAGCACTAAAAATAAGCATTATACTTTCCCTACATATTTGATATCCTTTCATAACTTCCCAGTAAGAGATGAACAGCCTTGACAATCACTTTCATTTTAAGTGATTATTATCTAACTAAAATTGCTTGACAACTAAGCTACTTATCCCTAAGCTTAAAAGAACCCTTTCTACACATCTTAGCAGTATATAAAATTTTTGACCATGCCAGTGTGGGGTTTGCTAACAGTGCAGATGGAAGTGCTTCTCAAGGTAACAAAGAATGTTACAATGTCTTTCTGGTTTTTATATTTATGTGAGAGTTTGCCTCACTGTCTATTGGTCACTCATCTTCCACGGCTGCTGCTCAGGTCTCAATCAGCAAATGATTATTTCACCATGTTCTTCGCTTATTACGAATTTCACAGAATTATCGTGAACTTCACTGAATATATTGCGAATTTCAGAGAATGTATGCCCATCAATTTTATCACAGAACCCATTGGGTTGGAAAAGACCTCTGAGATCGAGTTCAACCTATGACCAAATAGCACCATGTCAAATAGATCATGGCACTAAGTGCCAGGTCTTTCCTTAAACACCTCCAGGGATAATGACTCCACCACCTCCCTGGACAGCCCATTTCAATGTCTGATCACCCTTTCTGTGAACAACCCTCAGGCTCCTGTCACTGGTCAGCAAGAGAAGAGATCAGTGCCTGCCCCTCCTCTTCCCCTCACGAGGAAGTTGTAACTGCAATGAGGTCTCCCCTCAGTCTCCTCTTCTCCAGGCTGAACAGACCAAGTGACCTCAACCGCTCCTCATACAGCTTCCCCTCAAGGTCCTTCACCACCTTCCTTGCCCTCATTTGGACACTCTCCAATAGCTTAATACCTTTCTTATATTTACAATTAACAATGTGCATTTATGCTTTGCTATCACTGCATAACAGAAGAAACTGGGTCAATCCTGGCAAGATCTGAGAGTAGACTTGTAAGCAATTGTTTTCAAAAATAGGAGTTTGTTTTGGGGGAATCTATATCCACTTTTTTCCTCTTATTTTTTGAGCAACAATGGCATACAGTCATGAGCATATGGGGGTTTGGTTTGATAATTATTTTGTTTGCATGGGGTTTTTTTAGTTTTTTGGTTTTTTGAGGGGTTAATTTCAAGCATCGAACTGAAGAGTTACTACTGAATTTTATGAAAATATGTCTCTATTCTAAGATAGCATGCCTTATAAATCAGTCAGGAAGTGTTTGTTTGTTTTGTTTGTTTTACAGGCCTGAGATACAGATATGGAAAAAAGCTAGGATAAAATAAAGATTTGCAGGGGTATTACAGCACACAAGCTTATCCAAAGCAACTGTCCACATATACACGTTGAGCCATCCATTAACGGTAAGTTCTTGAAGAAAGCAGCAAGAGTTATACTGACTGTTTTATCCATAGGGAAAAGGCTAACCATGACAAATACTATGTGCAATGACATATTCTGTCCACACACGCACTCCCTCTGATAGTTTATAACAACAGCAAGTTGGCCAAATGAAGTGACATAACTGAAATTCCACTAGTGAAGCAACTGCAGAAGTGGAAAGCCCAAGAACACAGTCTGTGATAACACAACACTAACAGTACTGAACTCTGTCTTTGATGATCACTGGGATAAATATCAACCTAGTGCATGAATGTATCACTATTAAAGCTGGTCATGTAGATTACAGGGAAAATAACATTTTTATTTTCTCCAAAACAAATGCCCTGAGCAATGTCATCTCTTCCAAAGTAACTGAACTTGCCACTGCCTGACAGGTGGCCTAATGTTTCCTGTCTCTATCATGCCTGCTTATTTGTCCTCTAATATTACCAGTTATGTTTGTCCAGCTCACCAAACCTGTGGCTTTCCAAGACAAGCTTCCATTTTCAGATGACCCTACTATATTCTTGCAGAGGTTTTTTGGTTTGGTTAGGTTTTCTTGGAGGTGATGTTTTTGTTTTTTAAAGCAAATGTGATTTAATGCACTTTTTTTTCTTGGATATTTAGCTTGTTTCAGTGACTCCAGTATTATTAGGAAGCAGATGGAACTTCTCTCCTGGTATCTTGCCATCCTGACAGAATGATGGATGTGAGCACTTGAAAAATCTTTATCTTATTCTACATTGCTCTTAGATGTTTTTTAGCTCCTGCTTTGAAACTGACACACAGCTTGGCTTACATTTTTTATGGTACTTCTGTGCTTCGTGCTTTCAGCAGGTTGAACATCACACACAGTCATTCACCTACTACATCTTAGTCTCTTTCTTAGTTTTTTCCCTGTACTTAGATGTAGTACAGTACTTACACACACATCAGAGCTTTAGACTGCTATAGAAAAAATTGTCTTGTTCGGCTTCAACATACTAATCAAACTTTTCACATATATATGCTACTGTCTCCAACATTCCTTTTCAACTTAGTGTATCATTTTCCTTCTAAGAGGTAAATTTAATTCTGATTGCTGCCTATGTTAAAAACAACTTGACTGGCAGACGAGGGGAGAGCAGTGGATGTCATGCTCAATTCAGCAAGGTTTTGAACACTGTCTACCTCAGCATTCTTGCATCCAAGTTGGGATATTATGGTCTCGATTGCTGGAAAGAGATTAAAGAAAGTAGACTGGCTGGATAAGGTGGATCACAGGTTAGAAGAGTTTCAGGCAGATCTAATAGCCTGCAAGTACCTATGAGGAGGTTATCACGATGAAAAAGCCAGATCTCTTCACAGCAGCACATAATAGGAGGAGGGGCGACAGATAATTTATGTTGAAACGAGAGATTCAGACAGGATATTGGGAAAAAAATCTTCATCATAAAGATAGTCAAGCACCCCAAAAAGTTGGAGGCATTTAAGACCTAAATGGGTAATGTCCTGAGCAATGTGATCTGCTCTCATAGCTGACCCTGCTTAGAACTAATGACTTTCTGCAATCCCTTCCCACCTGAATTATGGTCCTACAGCACTAAGAGCCCCATATCAAGCACAATTTTATTCAGTTTTACTCTCCTGGCCTTTCTAAGCATACATTTAGATTGTTTGTTATTAAATAGAATCTCTGGCATACTGTTACAAAATTCATACAGCAGGTTCTATTCATGCTGGATTAGAGACTGTGCTTATTATTTGGCAGGAATCTATGAGGCAATGTGCAATATGTTTTAGGTCACCAATAGTTTTCACAGTGTCTTGGAGAAACAGCAAAAATTAAAAGAGAGTATAATCCAATTGAGTGTAAGTTTCTGCATGTAGGCAGGAAGAATCAAATGGGAAACACCTAAGTGAGATAGGAAGTAATGGTTCTTGAGAACAGTATCTAAAATTAACAACAAACCAAAAGTCAAATATGAGTAAAGAAATTCATGCTAACTTTAAGAAATGTAGATAGTACATGTAACACGTTTGAAGCACAAACCAGAGATGCAGTTCCTCAGACATGAAGAGCTTCTTAAATCCCTTTTCCTTCTAATTCATTCAAGATGTGAATATCCCTATAAGACAGAACTAAGACGACACTTGTGGGGGTTTTTTTTGTGGCTTTTTTTTGTATTATTATTTTATTATTTAAAGCTGCCCTGAAGGAATAAAGAATGCAACTATTCTTTTAAACAGTTTGGACTATGTGAATACTAATTGAAAAGGTTGCTTAGAGTTCTTATTAAGTGATTAGTTTTTCCTTTATATTTTTATAGGACCTTCAAAATGACAATATAAATTTAGTGCTATAGCTGCTCATAAACCATTAAGAACAATACAAATATCTTCTATATAAATGGGAAGGTAGACAGTTGTGAAAAATAGTTCTGGTTTGAATGTGAGGAAGTAAATTTATGCAAATTGCTGTCAGTCATCTGTGTATTCATTTCACTAGCAAAACAACATTATAAATGATCTATAGCCAACAATTCTTCATTTGAAGACATGTGATGCAAATATTTATTCAAAACAGAAAAAGAAAATCAGTTAAGGATAAGCATAAGTCTTACCACGCCAATAGAAAAGTAGTTATTGATGATGTTGTAAGGCACTGGGTCTCCCTTCTCATCTTTATCATTGGGTATTACTTCAAATTTCCACCTGTCCAGTAAAATCTCTGAGCTATTCTCAATGTCTTTTAAGATCTTCATCAAATTCTCACCTTCATAACCTAGCAAAACATAAAACCAGTTATTTAATCAAGCATAATAAAGTTTCATTACATTTTCTTTCTCTTTCTAGAAAACTGGTTGGACAGGGCTCTGAGCAACCTGATTTAATTGAAGACGTCCCCGCTCATTGCAGGGGGAGGCGGTGGTTGGAGTAGGTAACTAACCTTTAAAGGTCCCTTCCAACCCAAACTATACTATGATTCTATGACTAGAAAAATGAAAACTATGCATATAAGACCCGAGAAGCAGGATTGTCTGATGAAAGCCTGACAAGAGACTGAAAGGTTAAAAGTAATCTACTATTTTTTAGGGATTGTTTAAATGTGGTCTAGCATAACAAATCCAAAATTTCAAATCCATAATTGATGACTTATCAGCAAAAATAACATTTTCCATATTTCAACAACCTCTTAATGTGTTTCATCCTGCTCTGTAGAAAAATCTCACTCTTACTCACCAAGAAGCACTCACATGTAATTCACTAGTAGTTCACTACATTGTATACTAAACTGAGTAGAAAACTTATTCGCACACTCCTGAGTACACACAAGCATGTGTGTATGCATAAAAACTGTGGAGATTTTACTAAGTGACTATCAACTCTGAATACTATTCAGACCAAATGACTTTGCAATAGATAACTAAGATCTGTGGATTCATTCCTTCTTCAAATAATAAGAAGAATTTTCATATTCAAGCAATATGTATTTCCTGGATCATTAACAGCTTTAGCAGGTAAAACCATTGAAAGCCTCCTTGCTCAAAACCCACTGCTGATGTATTTCTTTATGGTTGTATGGTACACTTTTGTTAGTTACTGCTAACCACTGCATAACAGCAGCGTGCACAATTCTATCTGTCTGTATTCTTGAGATCACTCACCAGCAATTTAGTTTCTGGAAGCCCTGTCTCCTCTCCCATCTACGGAAGTTCCAGAAAATCTGTATTATGGTATTGCTTACCAAAAAGCAACTGGGCAAAGAATGACGAAAGTCAGAATATTTTCACACTTTTTCTATTTTAGTCCAAATGGAATCACTTAGAACATTAAAAGTGAATGGAGGAACAGCTCCTGACTAATATAATCAAATGCTCTCATAGCTGACCCTGCTTAGAACAGGAGACTGGACTAGGGAACCTGATTATTCTGTGACTAGTCTATGAATTATTGAGAAAGTGAGGTAAGGTTGATTTGATTGGGTTTTGGCTTGTTTGTTTTCCTTTTTTTCCCCCCCAAGACTATGAGAAGTAAACAATCAAGTCATGACAGAGAAAATGAAGGAGGTCCTCAATTGATTTGACAGAACATTATGGTTAACAGAGAAGTTCTATAGCATGAAAACTACTAAGAATTTGCTAAAGACTCTCTGGTAATAAGGCAGACATTTGGAAAGAAAACTTGGATGAGACAGAAGTAGTAAGGTATCTGCAAAGGCTGAGAACTTTCAAATAAACAGCCAAGTTCCAAATACAAAATATCTCGACTGAAACAACCAAGACCTGAAATAGACCTGGCTATGAGCCCATAAAATGATGTGCTTTCACCCCGGATTGAGTCTTGCCTAAGTCTTTCTTCCTTGTGTCTCCTTCAAGTTATCCTAGAATGCAAATTCTAAATGGAAATAAGTTATTGAAGGAGCTGAGAGTAAAGCTCCATACATCCAGGAAAGGATGCAAAGGGTATTAAAGGTTTGACTTTCAGCATTCTTTGCCTTCTCATTTCCTAATAAACAGCACCACAGCACTTCAAGTCTGGAATCTTCTGTAGGAGAACAGAAAGGGAGTGGACCAAAGGAACTAGTCCTAGGCTGAGACACATTTTTCATTTAATATTTTTAAATATTAAAAAAAGATGAAACTACTCCAAACCCACTATTAGATGTTTTCAGTAACCCTTTTACAACAGTCCCAACTAAAACCCATTTAAGACTACTCCCTTTACAAGGTATTGATCAAATCAATAACTGCAATACAGATGGTAAAAATCCAACTAAATAGCTATACACTACTCTCATTACACCTTGGAGCCTTTTTGGTGTCAGCAGAAGCTACAAACAGGGTATGAAGAGTGATTACAACCTTTAATATTTTATATATCTATACAACATTTACAAACAGCTAATTCCAAAAAGAGGAAAGGTGATAATGGTTCATAAAAAAGAAGTCCAAATGTAGACTTGGATGGAAAAGTTATTTTTTTCCCTTTAACTCCATAATACATTATATTGTAATTTGTGTTTACCTCCTCCCCATCTCAGACACCTTGCTAAATCATTGCCGGTCCCAAGAGGCAGTATAGCAACTGGAGGATGCTTAATCAAGTTCGCTTTCTCTGTGAATAAAGAAGGAAAAACATAACTAAGGAACTTTGTTAGGTTTTGTTTCAGTGAAAGACACTTTTTGTGTATGAAATTATGCTGCCTCATCAGCAGTGAGCATTTTACCAAGCCAGTCCATTATGCAGCCCCTTCTCCAGTCAATATTCAATTCTTAATCCTAATTTACTTGTTATCAAAAGGATTTTTGTAACCCATAGACAAGCATTCATAAGCAATGATACTCAAGAGCTTTCCAAGACTGAATATGGTGTGCTCTCTCTTGTTCTCAGTTCTGCCATTCCCAGCTACAAATGCAAAAGAGTAATAGTTAGGGGCATGAATAATGAGGTGAACCTTGTAATTTTTAATTTGGGTGACCAAATCTGTGTTTAACCATGTATTTACCTGGATTTGTGTCTACACATGAGCACCATTACCAAGAAGTCCTTGGAACTAACACCAGGACTTAGTTGGGTTTGCCCATCAGGAATTAAACCTGCTATTCTAAACAAGCACTGATCTATTTGATCAAGTCTATTTTGTATTTAATAAGCAATGTTTTGAAATGCATAAATTTATAGCATCTTTTCAGTCTTTACCAATATTTTTGTAGCATCTTAAGCCCAAGGATCTCTGTTCAAAATCCAGTGGGAAAACCATCATCAAGAAGTGGAAAATTCTTTCTGAAAAGCTGGAATTAGGGGAGCTATCCTCTAGGTATAAAATTTCAAATATAAAATTTGTCATACAAATAGCATGTCGAGTTTAAAAGTTATATTTGGTTAATCAAACAATCAGTTATTTTGTTCATAGAATAACGCAAAATTATCAGCAATAATCAGCAGGAATTTATCTATAAAATGGATGCAGCAGGGACGTCTTGATATTTATCAATACTTTAGAAAGATTTAACATTCACAATATCAGTGTACTGAAAATCTTTAAGAGAATTAAATATTTAATAAAATAATTTAAAAAAAACATTTAAAAGTCTCAAACTGATGAGAATTCTTCCTTCCTTCCTTCCTTTCTTCCTCCCTCCCTCTTTCCTTCCTTACTTCCTCCCTTCCTCCCTTACTTTCAGCTAAGACTCTTTGTATATTAGGAGATCTGGGAAGACCAGACTAGAAAGGATCTAGAAGCAGGTGCTTTCTTACACTTTATATGCCAAAGTGCTTTTGCTCCCTAAAAGGCAGCATTGAAAATCTACTTCCTGCACTTATGAAACAGATGAATCCTGGATCCCCCCAAAAATTTCTTAGTTCTGTAACACAGAAATTGCTGCAGAAGATAGTAAGTTATGAAGACAAAATAGAGTATTTTTGTCCAAATAATGTCACTGAAAGAGAAAGTAACTGCATGACATTTTAGACCTCATGAAAAAGGCGATAACACAATTAAGAGCTGCAAAACTTCATTCCTTCCACATTTAGGCAATACCCCTGATATTTATGTACATTGATTTATGACTCTGAATGCTATTTGAGAGTTACAATCAGCAGCTTTCATTTGCAAAAAGATTTTTTTTCTCCAACCAAGTTTAGGAATATGCCTTTGCTGTCATTCTTTCATGACATCAGTTTTAATTTTCAGTGAACTTTTAAAAGTTTTCTGGTCCTTCCCCTCCAAAGCACACACTTTTAAACACTCTAGATAAACTTTCAATTGTGTCTTTTGACCTCTCTTCATCCCCTTCCTAATTTCCATCGTCACATGTGCCCGTTTTTTTTCTGTGCAGCCTCTCTAACACCAAATAAATGATGTGGAAGACATTCCCCCTAATAAGCTTTGAGAAGTTTAAGTCTGTAATACCTTGACTTCTGGGCCTTCCTAACGATTTGTACACAGGACTTGACACACAACTGACTGAAAGAACTCCAAAGCTGAACCATCTCTTAGTACATTATCTCCATTATAGGATAATAGAGTATATACAAAAATTTGGTAAGTGAAAAAGCAAGTGAGCTAAGGTAAATTGTCTTAAAATAACAACTTAGATTTGATTCAATTGGAGAATAGACTCTGAAATGAAATTAGAATAGATTAATTCAAATTTCTTGCTTTCAGGGAACCCAGAGCACTATAAACACTGGACTTCTAGAAATTTTGGATATCTTTTTCAATTTGAATATCCTTTAAAATAATCATATCCCAAAATAATACATTTCAGAAATTTAAATGAACAAGGTCTTGTTTGAAATAGCTGTATCCATACAGTGGTATATAAGGAAGAGCATTAAAAGGAAAACCACGAGTCAAGCACAACTATGCAAATGGTAGAGATTACCTATGCAATCCAAAATCCAGCCTACTGTTCCATCTCCACCACATGCTAGTACTCTGAACTCAGCAACATCTCGGAAAAAATTTAACCTAAAAACAGTAAATGAAGATACCCAATTATGATAAATATATTGTGCATTATGCAAACATTTAATGGCTTGAGACATTTAATTTAATAGTAAATGGCAAGTGAACACTTGAAATAATAATCGCTTCTGCTCATGCATTCATTTTTTAGACAAATACAATCCAACACTGCATTATCTGAAAAATTTCAGTCAAAATTCACTTAGTTGTTCTGTTCACTTAGTTGTAAATAGATAGGTAGTCTCTCAAGAAAGAAAAGCCTAATTTATCTAAATGTATCAGCCATAACATTTCCTTGTGAAGTTCTAGATATAAAAGTATATGAAAACATCGTATTTCTGGTAGTATACTACTACATATTAAATTGAATATTCTGTAGTTGGTATAAAGAACGTTCCATCATTGTTTGATACGAAATGGGAAAGCATCAGATTTAAGACACCCATTTCATCATCCAACCATATTTTTAAAAGTAAAGTATCTTTGGTAGTATTTGCCTGGCTATTTCTGCTTCCATATCCATTGAGTATCAGCACCTCATTATCGCCTTCATTCAATACCTATGGTCCATAATGCTGACAAGTGAGTATATTTTAAAACAATCCTAAATTGCAATAATTTAAATTTAAAAGCATCTTTTCATGATAGCTTTTGACACATGCTGAAATTAGTCCTTACAAATAAATCGTGACTAGACAGAAAACTTCCACTAATTTTGTTGAATGACTCTGTGTGTGTGAGTGCATGTGCATACGTACATTCACACACCTTCTATTCATTAGTGTGACAGATATCTTAATGCATATTCTATATTCTAGTGACCAGATCTGATTTCCAGTTTGCAATGTCCTAATAAACGCACAACTAATACATTGTTAAAAATTCTTAAATGTGAATAAATATACACAATAGCTTGCAAGTCTCTAATTCATATTTTTTTCCTTATGAAACTTTAATGTTTCACAGGGAATGGAGTTCCTGTCCCTAGGAAGTCCTAAAAATTCTTCTAGGCCTCTTGATAAAATCAAGAACACTTGAAAACTACAGAGTGAAAAAGCGAGCAAGAGAGAAGGAAATGAAAAGTACAATGATCAAAAAATTTACATAATATATAGAAGATGACAGGACAACTTCTTGTTCTTTTAGTTTTGGAACAGAATTTTAAGGTTAGCAAAGCTACATAGAAATAAGCTCAACAGATGTCCCACTCCCTCTAATTTTCTCTGCTCAGAAGAGCTCTTAGGCAATTTCAAGTGTCAAGTACAATGCCTGAAGGATGCTTACTGGTCCTGCATTAAAGTCTGCTTTACCCTTCTCACCTCTTACATTCCACTTCACACATCTGAGGAGAAGTGCTATAGGATGTCTTCTGATCCAAAATGTCATGTGCCAGATCTGACTGGGTACACTTGGGGAACATATCTTCTAATAAGCATATGTGCTGAAAGACCCTCTGCTGGAAGTCACCTCCTACCACTGTAAGAGTAGGCACTGAGTTATGTCCTGGCCCACAGGTGTGCATCTCCATCACTTCAAGAGACCTGGCATAGAGACAAACGCCTCCCGTCACCAGCATTCGCACTTCGCCCCAATGTGTTGGGTTTGTACAAAGTTATAAGGTTTAATAATATTGCTTCCAATATTGAGGGTATTTCAGCTTAATTTAAAATCGAATTATAGCCCAAAAGTGGTGGCAGGCTACTGATGTCTATAAATATTTAAGCATTTCTACCTTTGTAAAAGATGTCAAAAAGAAAGTCTGGAAAAAACCCAACCAAACAACCAATGAGAACAACACCAAAAGTCCAGGGTTGATGCTAACATTGATCCAGATTGGCAGAACACAGACCTAAACCTCTGTCTCTTTTTATAAACAAGTTTCTTCACCCTATGGTCATCAAACATTCTTTTTATTTTGACTGTATATTTAATCTTCATCAAAAGGGTATAACTTAAAAAAAAGCGGGGGCTGAAGAATCTGGCAAAACCATATTGTCAAAAATATTCTCAATAAGCTTCATTCATTTTTCCCTTGGAGCACTTTATATCCATAGATAGTGAATTTTCTGAGCAAAGTACAGCATTAAGCTCACATAACTTTTTCTTTTAATAAATTTAAATATAAAATATGTACATTATATAAAAATCTAACACACAAACCACATAAAAATAATGCATAATATACCTTACATTGTATGTTTGCATATATAAATGCAGTGTATATAAATAAACTATAGCAAATATAAATATTTATAAAATCAAATTACTTTATAAGATTAAATATAGTTATACAATTATATATGTAAATAAATCTCATTCATTGAATTAGAATGTGCAGCCTACATTAATAGTTGGGAAGGGAACATGGTTTTCCATTTTATACAGTTTCATTCAAACTCAGGAACTGTTATAGTTGTAAAGAAAGAATTTGAAATATTTCTTTATAGAGCTTCAGGGAAAAAGTATGTATTGCCTACCAAGAAAGTTGTGCTCAATCATTGTTTAACAGCATCTGTCACTTTTTTCTCCACAGGACATTTTTGATGTGGTTTGAAAAGGAAAAAAAAAACAAAAACAAACTGTTTGAGAACTTAGTAAAAGTGGCTTAAAGTGAAACTAAAAAAAATTGGAAGTAATTATAAAGGTTTTGTGCACCGTCAGACTAAGTTAAAGGACCAGAATACAAATTTAATCCTATATTCCTAAAAAAAATTTAAACACTGAAGGTGTTTGATAGCAGCCTATTTTTATTTTATTTTGCCAGAAACAAGGAGGCATGCAAAGGCAATTATTGAGTTTCTGCTGATAAATCAGTAATTTCCACCTGAAAGAGGGCAACTGTTTAAAATACCTATATTACTCTAGTTCAGTTTTTCATAATCACCTCCCTAAATCCATAGGAATGTAGGAAAATAATTTATGAATAAAACACCAATGCTAGAGGATGTAACTATTTGCTGTTGAATCATGTAATTAATTGATTTATGCACAGATACCACACATACACATTCTTATAGAACTGTTTAAGAAAATCCCACCCCACTCACAGTAAAACTATTTGAAAACGTAAATTGCAATATTTTCCATTTAGATACCTGCACATGACCTTTTCTCTTACGCCCAGAAGCAACGCACTATGCAGAATTTCTGGTCTCAGCCACACAAGGTGGCATAACAACAGCAATGTGTGAAATGATTCAGCCAGTCTTCTTCACTCATAGTGGAAGCAAAATTTAAAACTGTCAATATTGCAATCGAAGAGTAATCCTCTGATATTTGTATCTCAGGATAAGTATCAGTTGTCAACACTACAGATGTCATAGAAGCAAAAATACTGCTAAACAGCTGTTCAAAATATATCTTTAAACTGAGGATTTAAGTTTCATATGTGAAGACTTGCTGAGTTCTAAGTACCACTGATTTATGGTGTACAACAGTAATTTTTATCATTAGAGTACAACCAAATCATCACTGCTGGCTTTGCCATTCTTTTGCAAAAATGTAATTCTTCCAAGGAAATATGGACCAGATTCAAGATTTCCTTCAGAAGAAAATAATTATGAAGCTATTATCTTCTGAAAACATTCCTGGTGTATATCTCTTCCCAGAATACTCTGGGTATTCCAAATGTCCAACAGCAAAGAAATGCTCCAACAATCAGTTCAAATAATCAAGGAAAATAGTGTAATTTTCAAAATAAGCCTATTGCTTTGTGAAGTTATAAAAGCCCAGGTGCTGTAGATTCCCAACTAAATTACAGCATAAGTTGTAGGGATTCAGTTTTTCTGTCTTGAGCATCTTTTAAATGGGCAGAATTTAAGATTTAAAAAAGCCTGTTGAAGCAAAATTGCAGATAGAATTTGAAAAATACCTGCTCTCCAAATTAAATGCTTAAGGAAGTTACAAAGAAATACAACTTTTGTGGACATAATTTCTATTATAGAGTATAAAACCCCCATAAATTAGACATTTTAAATAATAGACTTTAAGGAACAGGGGCCTTTTCAGAGGACAAAGCCTTTGTGAAACGCTGACCTCCCTACAGAGTCCTGCGGGTCTGTGGCTCGACTGCTATTCATCCCACTATTATTTACCTCTCTGTGAGGTGAACAATAACTGAATTTCAGATTCTTCAAGATCATTAAATCCACAGTAACAGTTGTTGTCAGAAGTAGAAGACTCCTATAGAGATATAACAACCAAACAGGGAAACTCTTTTCATGGCTAAAAACACAGGTGCTAGGCACAAATTACACAATGCATCAGCCCAGCAATTTTCACATCACTGTGTTAACTGTAGCAGCCTGTAACTGTGGAGTATCTTTTATGCCTGTGTTCAGCTGCAGAGCTTATAGGGTTTCTCCAGCTCACTCATATTTCTCTACTCCAAATTAAAGAATGTGTAAAATATTTATTATACACATGTTTAAAGTGTACTGTTGCCCTTTGGCCTAGAGCTCCTTGATTTTCAGGTCTTGCAGCAGGTCAGTCTCCATTGCCAGAAAGGAAACAATGCCAGAGTCACTGCCATGAGGTTTATTTGCATCATGGACATATTTTTATATAGAGCATGTACATGAGTCTTGACATAAACTGCTCCAAAGATCTTAGCTTAGGTATACAAAGAAGCTACAGGAAATGTCTTTGCTGCTGTTCCTGCACTTCAGGTATAGTCCCATCTATCATGAAAGTAGGCAACATTCACTTCATTAACTGCACATTCAGACAGTGATACTAAAATTCATTGTCAACTTGTTCAAAATATTTTTCTGTTGACCTGCTACACACCAGCATATCTATTAAAAAAACCCACATTATAACTGGGCTGGGTGGGACTTTTTTGTGTTTTTTGTTTGGGGGTTTTGGGAGCTTTTTTTTGTTATTGTTGTTGTTTTGGGTTTTGGAGCCCTATATTCCAACACATTTCCATGAAAGATCATGGTTATCCCACTGTAGAGAAAGAATGACAGGCATAGCAATTGAGCTGTTCAAAAAAACCCCCAAAACAACCCCCCAAAAAACCCCCCCAAAACCCCATCAGTTTCACAGCCCCCCTAAGATTTACAATTTTATTAGTCTCCTAGTTATCTTGTCTTTCTCCCTGCTTTCCAAATAGAAGACGCTTAGATTTCTGACAGAAATGAACTGGAAATATCAACTCATGTTAGCCACAGATGTTTGGAACTCAAGTTAGAAAACTTGTGAACGTTATCTTCTAGGTTGATGAGCAGCAGCCCATGAGAAAAATACCACCAAAAATTAAAAACATTAACTTATGGGTTAAAGCAGACAGCCTGGGTCTACCAAAAAAATGCAAATTCTGCCTACTATAAACATTCTCTAGGTTGAGTAAACATGTCTGAAAATGGTATTCAAAAGAAAAAAATTCTCAAAATAGACTCCATTAGAATGTATTACAATAATCATAAATGCTTTAAAATATGTTGTGTTTATCCCTTTCTACTAAATAACTAACTAGGATGAGGAATACACTTTAGCTTTTCTCTCTGCTGTACAATATCCAACTCTGTTACATTTTGATCTAAATGACACATATGACAACATTAAATAAACAAAACATTTTGATTGACAATCCAGCATAATTGGCTTTATAGAGATGGATGAGTGAGTGGACAGATGGATGGATGGGCAGGTTTTATTAGGTAATACAGCCCTTGCAGAAAAAGAAACAAGTACTGGTAAGAGAAATACCAGAGTATATTCAACTTCTCACTTAAGGGACAAATTACATGCAGCCTACATAGTATTGCCAGGGGCAAGAAGTGATGGTAGGAGATAAACTGGAAATTTAGCATTATTCATTTCTGTGGAATGAATAAAAAATATACCAAAACAAGCAGTGTCTGTTTAAAAATTAATTAGAAATTTCTTCAAAGTGACTGAACTAAAACTATTTCGATTCCTAATAGGAAGAGAAATTGAAAATATTTTCTAAAAAACACTGTCGTGGTTCAAAAGACTAATGTTTAAATTGCTTCAGTGCAAGGTTTCAGCTTGAACTTAACACTGCCCTCTTGTGCCTTTGTCTTAAAATACATTTTCCTTCACATGGGAAGATACATGAAAATGAAGTCACTAATGGACAGAAATGCAGACAGATTTTTTTTAAGTTCAATGAAATAAGATGAACTGGAACAACAATATTTCAGTTGCTTTAAAAATCATCATCTCAACCTTTAGCATGGCATCTCTATTATACCGTATGCAAAACAATATTGGTTACTAGTTTTGTCTCAGTTAATTTTAGTCTACTAATTCTTTGGACTGACTACTTAAATTTTCCATATGTGTTAAGACTACATTAAAACAGCACTAGCATTCAGGTACAAGATAATTGCAGGCATGAAAGAAATCATGCATGTCATTATTTCCATTTTTTGAGCTGGTTTTGCAGCATTCAGCAGTTTGAACCTTGGCCACACTGTACTGTAAGATATCCTAACTTCTAAAAGGATTGAGCCAAATATGCTTTTCACTTTCATCAACGCTATACACATCTCAAGTCTAACACAATAAATAGAGAGCTGATATAACATTGTTTAAAGAAACAATATTTGTATATTTGGCCTTAAACCCAGAAGTACTGGTAGAAACTGCCAGAGCATACTCTTTCCAGTAATATATATGTGACAATCGAAATAAAAGTTTGCAAGGCACAAAACATGTACGTTTCCACATTTATCTTCTTTTCCTCCAACTTCAAAGAAAAAAAAGTCTAAACAAATAAAAATATATATTAAAGAAGTATTTGAACAATATAATGTCAGTGAACTTATATCCTAATATCCTTCTGTGACTCTTTTGACTGATGTAAAATTTCATATATCAGCGACATAACTAAATAACATCCAATACATACAAAATGATACAGATGTTCAGTGCTGCTCTATCTCTTTTCTTCTACCAAAGCAGCCACTGCTTAAAAGAGAGACAATATCAGGTGGCAAAGGTTGGTATTGGATACACTGTAATTCTCCTGTCTTCATATGAATGCAAATTAGGAAGACTCATGGAGAAAGCAGGTTAAGTGAGTGACTGCAATGTCAGCTGGTTCAGAGAACGCTTCAGTCTCCGACAGCATAACCCAGCCTGGCCAGTCATTCCCCAACCACTACATCACCAAGATTCTGTAATTCATAAGGAGTGTGCAGTCACTGTAACTTGAAACAACAATCTACATCTGACATGTACAAGAATAGATATATATGTACACCATGTATACATATTACAGACATATGTATGTGCACTTGTGTGTCTGTGTAAAAGAACTGGATGTGCTGCAGGTCTTGAGTCTTTGAGGCTGCTTGATATTTATAACATAGAAGTAACTCCCACAGGAACTTAGGTTGCTGATATAGTAGAAATAGAATGAAATTTATCCCACAGTTTTTACAGAGTACTGCATGGTTTTCAGTAAAACATATGAGATGTAGCTTTATTTGTAGATGTAAACAAATAATACCTATACATTTCTGCAGCCATTCAGAGATCTGCAGTGTTGATACATTCCAAACATGCTATATGTACTTCAGTCTGTTCATTTGATTATGTAGCATTTTATTAAATGAGTTCCTGGTAATAATATTAACTGTAGACTTACCCTGGCATTGGTCCATTTCCAGAAAGACTATAAACTTGACGAGGATTTAAAAGGTACTGAAATTTTCTATAAATTCTGAGGAGGTAAAAGATACAAGGAGAAAATATTTACTTACATGTTTGGAATTTTTTTTTAAACCAATCAAATGAAAGAATTGAAGAAGTTAACACATATTATAATTATTTGAACCACAGGATCTCGTTTAAACAAAAAAAATCAAATAACTGAACACAGCAATTATAATTCAGATATAGAATGTATTTTGGGGCATAAAATTGAGACAGAAGTGCTACAAGGTATCTAAAATTCAAATACTGCATATAGATAGAAAAAATAGGATAAGGGGGTATAATGACACAAGAAAAGGTGAGTCAAAAAAGCATTTCAAAAAGTGAATTGATTCGTAATAAAGTAACTCCATGGTAAAGGAGAGATTTCTTCCTGAAATTTATTGCTAACACTAAATTACAAGTATAATTAATTGCAAAAGCAAATTGGCTTTGCCACTCATCAAAAATGTCCCCATAGAATGAACAACATTCTGAGAAAGCAAGGCTATGGTCAACTACATTTCCTCAGGATTACATTTAAATGGGAAGAAAATAAAAAATATTTGAAACCACTTTTTAACTTAAATTACACATATTTGAAAATTATCTGAATAATAGGAAGCAATTATTGATACAGCACGAAAAGTATTGTCCTATCCCATAAGGGACCCTCTTTGCTGTCTCACCCTCAGTAAATATTTCCTCAAAACTGTAATTTTAGAAATTTGTCCTAAAAAGTTATTTGTTAGGTTATTTGTCCTAAAAGTATAACGGACATTTTGTTTCTTCATTACAAATAATAGAAATGTAATTTCCTACATTGACTATAATGTGGTAGCTGATTCACTTCTTACAAAGAAACAAGTAAGCACACAAGAGTTGGAGCTCAGAATGAATAAATATATACCTGGGATCTATGGCAATAGTTTAAATTATAAACCCCTCTGTCTTGCCTTTAATTTTAATGTCTCTATCCTTATGCTAATTAATATTTAAATGTTTTTAAGAAAGCATTAATTTTTCCACTGAAATATTTCTTCCTTTCTATTTAATGGCTTAAATAAAATAGAAGCAAACTAAGAGCTGAATTTTAGGCTAAAATGTCCACATTTTCAAATACAGCACAATAAAACTGTCTAGACACAATCTATGTGCACATTGAGGGATTTTTGTTTTATATTATTTTCTTAAGAGCAATGCATAATTTATCAGTCTAGGTGGACGACAAGTATGTAAAAATACTGAATACAAACAAATTCATAATTATCTCTAAAATTGCCAAATTGGAACATTTTCTTAACTTTTGAATTATTTAGTGATATCAGCTTCTTCACAAAGCATTTTATTAAAGTACACTCACACTATCTACTCCTGATGCCATTCCTGACAGAAAAAGTCAATATCCTTGCTAGTTTCACTTAGCAAGGATGCACACATCATTGTCAGTGGCTGTGATGATGATTAAATCAGACCTTTGACAATGGATTTACAAAACAATATATATCTTTCCATTTGCAGCATATTACCAATGCAAAAGGAGAGTTTTCTAGTTAGTATGTGTAATTTGCTTCTCACAGATGTATAGGATTTAACCTGGACAAAGGTGCTGGTAATTTAATTTGTGTAGCTGATCATAAGTTCATGAACAGTATTGTTATGAGGTCCCAAAGATTTAAGAGTTATTTGCCTAAAGTTTGGTGCTACAAACATACTAGCCCGTACCTACACTCACAATACTATTGTCAGGTAACAGTGAAATGCTATAAAAGCCTTCTTAATAAAGAGGGCGCCAAGTTTCTCTACTCAAAACCCAGAATTCCAACTGCAATAATGAAGAGATTACACTGAATCATACTTGACTCAGTGCATACCATTCATAGGTACTAGCTGAACATCAATTCCACCTAATCACTCTATAATGGCATGCCGCAAATGACACCTCAAGCTTTAAGTTATTATAATTCATTTATGTATTCTGTGTAAAATTAATAAATTGATGGTTTGGTTCCATTCATACATTCTACCAAAAAAAGAGGAAGACACCATCTGTAAATGTTTGCCTTCACAGTAAACTGTAACTAGACCTACAGGGTGCCATGTGCAAGCCCAGGAAATGGACAATAACTGAGCGTGGGTTTACATCTACAATACCGAACAACCTACTGAAACTGAGATGGCTCCCCATGTCTTGCTTCCACATGTAAGGAGGGAATTGGATGTGGTTTCCTTGTGACTAGATATTTGTGCTGACAAGGCCATGAAGAGGTGTGACGGGAAATGCCCCAAAAGCCATTTTTGTGATGGAGTGCATTTTAATGAACAAAGGCAGTTCATGAAATTACCACTTGTCAACAAACAGTTGTGCTTCTGTAACCACTTTTGGGGTTATTCTGTGATCTGGAAAACTAGATAGATTCAATTTAAAACACAAATCCTTGGAAAAGTTTCTTCATTGTCATTTTTCCCTTCACTAAAATCATGCCCATGATCTCATATAAACCTCAAAATACTCCACATTAGTATAACTGAGGAGGCAGAAAATGACATCAGGAGTGGCCAAAGGGGCTGGGATTGTCAGCTTTTAACAGCCCTCTTGCTGAAGAAAATACTCTTGAGTGCACCTTAGGCTGAGTTAGACTGAGCTGTCTTCTAAAGTGGCAATTCAAAACTGGCATGAAATTGTCTACACTGCGGAAAAAGCTGACCATTGCAGTAACTTGTGCCACAACTGGGGGATTCAGTCATCCAGGGGCTGACTATTCAAGATGTGGTCACTATAGGCTTACTTCAACCCTAAATTCAGAGAAGAAAGAAGCCAAGGCCTCCTCCCCAAAATTAAAAGAATACTAGTGATCTGCTCTTCCAGACATACAAAGTTTGAAAAAGATAATTTGAAACAGCTTTTACATTTTGTCTCAATGCTAAATGAAAGCTCAGAAAGCCAGATTAATCAGAGGGTAGGAGGGAAGAGCTACTATCAACCAAAGTTATTTGAAAACAGCAAAGGTTAAAGATATCATCAACCTGTACTGCACAGACACTGAATGTGGAGTCAGCAGGAAACATCAGTGTACGGAAGTTGATCTACAGTGCATCCAACCGCACATTTGTCAAGGAAACAATTGTTTAAACTCACCTGCTGGTCAGGCAAATAAACTGAAAAAGTGGGAAGTGGAAATCAAAGTAATGAGTATGGCAAAACAACAGCATGATTTAGAAGGACTCTTATGTGAGAAACATTACCCTTAACAACGGCCTTTAGATGCACTATATATTCTTTGTATATTCTTTCTGTTGAAAGAAACTATTTTGTCAGTGATGTACTAAATATGTACATTCTATTCACAGATTATTGAAAATTGTTGCCTTGATTAGTCAGATTGTAAGTGCAGACATCCTGCACTGATAGGATGAAATGCATGTCCTGCCATTTTTTTCATGCACAATCATGTACAATCACTGAAAACATGTTACAGTTTGATATAGCCTGAGGAACACACTTGACTGCGTTTGATGAACTCCTGTCCAATCTCATGCTCGGTTAAAACGTATTTCTGGTAAGTGAAAGGCTTAAACTATTCAACTTCAATTCTGTTTTTCTACTTTCTTCTTAATAAACATTGACTTATATTTTTGTTATATTGTAAACATATGTACTGTCTATTGAGCAAAATAACTTAAGTCCAAATCACTGTAAATAAAGTTTTGTTTCACATGATGGGCAATAAATGTTAACCTCTCAGTCAAGAAGAAAGTATAAATGGGTTATTGTTATAGTTCTTTGTTTTGCAAATATATCTGAAAGTCATACCATTGGTCTTTAAAACAGAAACCTATTCAGGAATAACATGCTATTTATCACTACACATTCTGCAAAACTCTCACTTTCTAGTGGAATCAAAGTTTTACAATTTATTGATAAGGTAATTAGATATGATTGTACAGAATGTATTTTTTGTTTTCTGAATGTACTTTTTCCACACATCCATTCGTTTCCCACCATAACTGTTCCAACATTCAAAAACTATAACTAAAGTACCTAACTTTTTTTACCTTAAAGTGATCCTCAGTTTTTTTCCTTTGCATTTGAGAGATTTGAAAAAAATTACAAAATACAAAAGGAAATGGCAGAGTATTACTGGGGGAGTGTATTTACTCAATTGATTATCACATGGATGCATACACTCTCTCCAAGTCTAAGGGCAATGAAATGGGCTGGGTTACCATATGGCAAGGCATAAAATCTCATACAGGGAACTGTGGGAACACTAGAGTCTTGACAGTCTGCAATAACCTTTCTGTGTTCAATGAAAGTCAATTAGAAATCATAACTTTATTCATCATGACCTCTCAAATACAGAAAATTGTAAGTAAAGACAGAAGAATAGCTTTTGTTAAAAGATTGCCTTAATCCGAATGAGTCAAAATAATGAAATTTTCCCATCTACAAAAATTAGAAGGTTGTGGGCTGGGTTTGCTTTATTTTTTTTGCTTTCACTACTGTGGAAATCTTACTTTTGTTACAGCTTATCCTCTACTTCTAGCCTCTCAATACCTGACCAAATCACAGAATTGCTATAATCAAAAAACCTGACTTGTATCACCGTAACTGTGCGTTTTACAAAGTAATTTATGTCTTCAAATGTCCTGTGATTTTACTTTCCACAACATATAACTGGCACAAAATTGGAAGGTAGGAAAAATATCGGATTCCTCTCTTCTGGTTACTGACTGTAAAGCAGAGAAAAGTCAAAAAGTTAAATATTATCATTCCCTGAGAAAGTTTTTATCCCTTAGATTAAATATTCAAACTAATATGCACTCCTAACATCTTCATTTTATAATTTTGTTACTGATATTGATATGAAACATTAACACCTAAAAGACAGGGGGGGAACCCCCTTCTCACTAAATAGTCCATATGTGGACTTTTTTAACCTTTTTGAATCTGCCTTTAGATTTAACCATGAGATATTATCTCCTGCTGGTGAATGACCTGAGATATGTTTACATGACCATGCAGTTGACCTTTAGATGTGCTTCCCTTAACACACAAATATTGAGCACGACCTCGACACATTAGTATGCAATTTAACATATTGTGTGTGTGTGTGTGTGCAGTATCAAAGCCACTTTAAGAGGTTCTTATATTTTACTATACTCAGCTGCTGATGCCTGTCCTCATGCTATACACTTCATTGTGTAATGACACTTGTAGATAATGGTGTTAGTAAATGAAGTGTGCATAAGGCATTCATCTTTAAAATTCAAATAATTCCTGTGACCTGTTTGGCCTCAGTAACAGTTTCATTGACATAACCTGTGAAGTGTTAGACTGTAATACATGAATGGGAATAGGAGCCTGGGATGGAGATCAGGTTTTAAACTTGCTTTTACCCTGGAGAACATCTAACATTAAATGACATCCCTCATGCACTAAGCCCATTCAGATAGTAACACTTGAGACCAATTATGAGCTGGGAACTGAAAGCTGTGAAACAGCATTTGATTAAATTGTTTCTAGGCTATAACTAACTATGTAAGTGCAGCTCTCTAACCTGCCTCTCACTTACATAATTGCAGACTGGATCTCTGATCTACTCATTTCATGTAAGTACTATAAAAGAGTCAAACTGAGTGCTAGTGCAGATTACCTTCCACAGCATCCCTAACTGCACAGTAGACCAGAGCTACCTCACACTGCTGTTGTGTCTAAATCATGAATGCTCAGGATGGCTCACAGTCCTGTTTTGATTGCAAAGTCATGTTCTTGAAACATTTAGAATTAATCTTTTAGATCATTAACTGCCTTTGACATGCCTAGCTGAGATCTAGGTATACCACTCCGGGGATTATATAGTCAGCTCCCAAATGATAACCTGTTCTCTCAGAAGCCTTCGAATACCTTTTTATTTAAATGCTCTTCAGCTCTGAGAATTACCCTAACATCTACTCTGCAGGATTTTGTCACTTTTGACAGCTTACTCTTGGGGCCTCTTATGGGACAAGCTAGGGAAAGCTGACCCACTTGTAGTTTACTTTCTTGGTTCCAAGCTTTAGAATCCCACTGGATCCTTCCTATTTTGCTTTGGGTTACCCATAACACCCGTTATCCACAGGTGTCATCTTCAGCCGTAATCTTTTTCAAGACTTGAAAGTTACAGCACCAACATGGTAAACTAGGCTATAAAAATTTAGGGATTTATGTGATTATCAAAAATGGCCATATTGTTAGCATTTGTGATTCTGAAACACACTCAGGAAAAACTATTTAGGGGGTAACTAATGCAGCATTCCTCCCTGAGTTTGATGGACTGAGTAGGAGGAAAATGCTCCTTGCTTTATCATGTCTCCAATACAGTAACACTTAAAGTAATAAACTAGACATTTTGAATTTAAATGAATGTAATTATTGACATATGCAAAGTTATTATGTCTCTTAAGTTTGTGTGACTGGACTTTAATACTTTAACTGGATTGTTAGAATGCTTACCATCTAAGAAAATCAAAAGATTTCTTTGTAGGAAATCTTATGGAGAGGCATGAGAGCCTCTACTACTAAATGTTTAAAAAGCAAGTCATACATTAGAAAATGGAATACCGTTTCTAATTTAAATGACTGGCCTGTCTGTAAAATCATTACATAGATTAAAAGAAAACTGCCAGCAATTCAAAGTTTCAATGCAAAATACAACAACTCACATCTTCATGCAAATCCCACAAACCCATGCACTGAATATAGCTACTTCTTTCAATTTGAAACAAAACTGTTCTATAGACCTAATTCTAGTTTGTAACTGCGGAATTTATTACTACAGGGATATAGGATGTTCAAATGTGAGGCATAACAGTATAAAATGTCGGATTTTTTTCTCATGTACAAACTTTTAAAATTCTCTCACAGAGATCAGAATAAAAAAAGAGAGGGGAAAAAAAAAGAAAAAAGAAAAAAACCTTACCTTTCTCCTTGTTTCCCACCACTTTTAGGATTGACAAAAACTAAAAGTGGATGAGTGCCTGGAACTGGAGTGATCTAAAAGAAGGGAATAACACAGCCACTCATTAATGCTGTGTGTTGCATTCATTTTTTCCTATAGTAGACAGAAAACAAAAAGCTTAATGCAAACTCTATGTTATGCTATGTAATCCAGCTGGAAGCAATACTGTAATTTGCAATAATCCTCACTTCACTAATTTGTCAAAATTTGCAAGTGACTTCTTTTTTAATGCTATCTGTTTTACAGCTGTGGTACCATTTAAACCCATAATTCCACTGTAATATTGAGATATATATATATATACACACATATACATATGTATGTATATGTTTCATTTAAAGTTTTCTTCTCTACTGCTGGATGTAAGACAGGTATGACTTATTCTGACAGTAATTTCCTATGGAAAAAAGCTATGAAGAAATTGTATTTTGGACTGAGAAATGACACTCTACTATGAAGGTCAAATATAGCTATACAAAATTTTAAACTTGACAGAATAATTTTTATTTTTTTTAAATTACAGAAACCTGCAGTATTTGATAAGACATGAAATCACACACTTTCTAAAATGTGGCAACCATAACAATAAAGAGTTCCTCTAAACACCTGAGAAAGCTAAACATAAAATAACACAGGAGAAACCACGTAGAAGAAGGGCAAGCCTGAAGAAAAGAATGTTGAGGAGGATATACTGCAGGAGACAATTATTTCTAACAATTCTTTTTTTAATTCTTTTGTGCAGGGAAAGTTTTACACATTCATATTAATATTTAGCTTTACAAACTAACACCTTCCTTCTAAGCAATAGTGTTATTCTATTTTTTCAGACACTCTGATATGTGTGTGTTCACTGCCTTTACTCCACAGACTTGAACATAAAAAAAATTACATCTCTCTCTAATACCTGTTTTAAACCACTCAACTAGACTATTCATATTAAAAATTATCACTTTTAGACATAAATCAACTCCAGAATGTTTGAAAGTATATTAAGAGTTCAAAGTCAACACCTCCAAAGTCATGCACTAACAACTTCAGGGATGAAGCTTAGACCACCTCTGTTTCAAAATGATACATTGAAAGGCCTTGTTCCAAATCCCTATTCATAACTCCTGAAATAACAAAATCTCTTCAGCTGAAGATTTCATAAAATGCAATTTAAGGCAGAACCTGAGAAACTTTATAGCTAAGAAGTCTTACAGGCATCCTATAGACATAGGCATATAATCCTACAGGCATCTAAAAGCACTTTTCTTTTAGTAGGAATTGTTAAGCACTAGTGTGTCAACTCCACTCATGATTTCACAAACAATAGAATCAAATTTGTTCCAATACATACAAAAATAATGGAAAACTCCACAAACCCAGTGGAATTAAACTTAACAGAAAACCAACTCAGTATCACCTTCTGGCACAGTAAAGTGCTGCATGTTGAAACATACATCAAATTGCAGAATACAGTGAAGTTTGTCATATATTTAATTTTTATCTACTCTTTTAATCAATTTTAGTTATTTAGCCAATTCCCATGATGTTTGTTCCTGTGAACTAAGTGTAAACCAATGGTGCTCATTGTGACAGAGATGGAATACCTACTGAAATCCCTTAGGACGCCGGTTAATTAATGAGACTCATCCTAAGGTTATACATGATCTATTACTTCCTCTAATTAGAAATAATAATCCTGATCATTATGCTGGTTAGCTAGAAAGAAGCAAGATGAATGTGCTTAACTATGATTAATTGTCTTTTAGTCGTGCAGACCTCCACTGCCACTAAGTTATCTGCTCACTGCTGTCTGATGGAAAGAAGGTTTGGTCTTGATACTTTTCTCAACAAAAGCTAAATGATGGACTTACTTCTATTTTAAATCTTTTATTTCAAGACTCAAACATATTATTACAAGCAGAAGGTTTTGAATCATCAAAATACCCAAAAAACCTAATAACTAGTGTGTATTCCACTCGGTTTCAAAATAAATTTTAACTAATTTTTTACAGATTTTCCTAAATTACTTTTCCAGATAACATATAGTATTTTTATATAATAAAAATGCAACTAAAGATTTAGACTAAATTGGTGAACATTGCCAAGCCTTAATCTAGCATGATTTAAAGGCAATCTCCATGAAGTTACAGGACAAGTGACTTAGAGTAAAAAGAAAAAGAAATAAGCGGTGGACCGTTTATATATACTTTCTCCCATATTGAAAACAGAGGCCCAACAGGAGCAGTACGAAGATCTATGTTACCTTGGGAACTTAAATCATAAACAAATGCAATTAGCACACTGATTAAGTTTTATGAAAACTATCCTTGCTTACTGAAAATCATTAAAATGAGACCATGCCAGCAGAATCAGAGTATTAGAGTAGCATGCCAGATATGGGAGAATTAGAGTACTACACTTTGATCAGATACAGAATTTTTTTCTCCAGACCATCTTTAGGAAAAATGCTAACATTAATTACCAGTGATATTTAGGGCACCTTACATCTTTGTGAAAATAGTCGCAAAATTATACAATCTGTGAGTGAAAAAAACCCCTAACATTCTCATTGATCCATCCTTTCACTATGGTATCCTTCAAGATCCACTCAGCCCTCACAATAATTAGGTCTTAATATTATTACCAATCAAAAATGTAGTATTTGAGGCTAAGATGAATTCCTGTTACTCAAAACCAATTTAATCCAACAGAGAAAAACAAAGACCGTGGTATAATCAGCAAATTAGGGCCAAAACTAATTATTCACAGAATTATTTCTAATGTTATCACCATGATTACCAGTACTGTATCATGTACTACATTACAAATGTCTCATTACAAAAAAATACCAAGCACTTCAAAAACCACCTCAAATCCCCTCAATAATAATTCTACCATCTTAGTCTGCACTCTCTTTTTCTCCATCTCAAGCATAATAAATAAAAGCAACGATGAATCCTAGGCTTTCGATTCATCATGGAGAGAGAATATAGAACACAAGTTTTGGATCACACTGACAAACTTACAGAAAATCTTGTGACCTAATTACCTTAAAGGAGAACATTTAATAATTTAAGGTTGTGTGTGCAAGAGTTAGTCATGCTAGGAGTTGCTGTTTTGAACAGACCAAGCACTATATCTCAGGCACTGCATAACATGAGCGGAAAACAGACACTTGAAAAAGAGCTGAAAATAAACTATGCCCATAAGTAAAGATGTTTCTCTATCCAGAACAGTTTGGTTCAATGGAATTGAGTGTATATCACCCAAAAGTTAGAACGCTCCATGCATTTTCTTTAGCACCAATTTATTAGTCACACTGTGCCTGATCAGAACTTGAGCTTTCTGTCAATTAATACTCTGGTCTTTTTGCTCCATGGTTTGGCACAGGCAATCTGGATGGCAATGAAGCCTGTGAGAATGGTAAGTACAGGAAGAGAATCTTGAAAGCAATAGATATGATTGCTGTAATGTCCTACTACACCATCAATGGAGAAGCCATGTGACTGCATAGGTTTTAGGGTTTGTTTTTTGGGTTTGGAGTTAGTTTGAGGGTTTTTTCTTTTCCTTATGTTGTCATAACAAGAATGTTTCACAAACAATGAAACAATAAAATAAGCTTTCCTATACTGACACAATAAGGTACATCTTGAAATAATTATGATGCGTAAAGCAATTTATATATGGTAAGGGAATCTTTTCACTGAAGCTCAACATATCAAAAGATAGAAATAACAGACAACTACATATATTAAATTATTATCACATTGTTATCCTGATGATAATTTAATTCATGAGGAAATGAAGCAGCAGCATCATGCATATAAACACTAATTTCACTCAAAAATACTCTTAGTAGTACTCAGAAGTTCAGGCAGAACTTCTGGCATTCCTGTAAGTCACTGCCCTAAAATAGCTCATCACACACACACAGGTTTTTCTTTCAAGCAGAAAACCTTCAATTTTTATTACAGATATTGCTAGTACAGATATTTGCTTCTCTCCACTGTTAATGCCAATATGCCAAATACACCACTTAGAAATACCTACACAGATTACACCCTTGAAGTTTAATCTATCTACTAATTAACAGGTCCAAATGAGAAAACTGAACAGTTATCAAGACATAGATTCATAAAGTAAATTTACACAACACTGTATGACAGATACCAAAACAAACTAGTTCAGTTTCATCCTACAGTAGAAGTAATTTAGTCTTCCCTACCCCTTAATTTCTTGGGAAATCCTAACACTGACATGAGAAGCAGATTTGCATCACAGGATTCCTGAATCAATGGAAAAATTTACCTACTGCATTTTTAAAATATGTAAAAGTGAAATATTAGAAGAGTGAATGTATATTTCACTTTAAAGATTTCTCAGTCTATCATTGTCTTCATACCTACAAGCATCTGCTTAAAATTAAAATAACAATAATCACACCTGAAGACCTTGTCCATCTACAGTGACAGAATTTGCTCTTTGCATTTTGCTCCGTTCTCCCAGTTTGTTCATTTGCTGGGGGCAACTCTTTTCTTTTTTCACTGTTGCCTGTCTTTCCTTGAAAAAAGAAGAGAAAAGGAGAAAATTGAACATTTTAACACATTATATATATAACTGTATTTTATACAACTGTAATTGAGACTGTACCTCCACATAGTTGCTTTTTGACTAGTGAGTAATGTCAGATTCTGCTTTAATGAAAATGAGATCCCAGTCAAGTTAATACACAATGTTTGGCCACTTCACATAATATCTATCTATGTGCCTGGACATTTCATAATGACTAGGCAATAGATGGATTAAAAGTGTGTAGTCACAATACAAACTAATGTAATGATGTGAAAAGATAATCTGACATTACCAAGGTGGCATTCTGAAACTTGAAAGCAAATCATACAATGTAATTGATAAGAGATCAGTAATTTATCAAAATTTCATCCCAACTGCTAGCAGAGGTTAAATGCTCCAAAGTACTTTTCCACTTTGGCAAAATATACCTGGTCTATGTGTACCATAATCAACTGGCTGAGTGGCTTTTTATAAAACATGTATTTCGTATCAGAAGGAAAACAGAATCTACATCAGATTCTAAGCTGTTGGCAACTTTTGCTGCTGATACACAGCAGAATGAGATGGTTATTTGAAAGAGGAAAGCTCAGAAGTGTGTTGCTGTAATCATATTTTCAACTGTTATCAGGCCATTTCAGAAAACTCTGAATAGAAAAAAAAATCCTTGTTCTTTGTATCTCATTCTATTTATAAACTGTACCTAGCATGTCCTTTTAGATTGTCCAAAAAATGTACCATAAATTAAGACAGCAGATGTTTATAAAATAGAATTGATGTCCCCAGTCTCAACTGCACCCCAGCCACTTTCCTCACTTCACAAGTGCAAAGAGGCTTTAAACTAGTGAGGGGAATGGGCTGGCACAAAGCTGCTGCACTAGAAGGTAGCATGAAGGACTCTCCTGCACCCCCTGCAACTGCATTCAGTAAGCAGTTCATTGTTCCATACCAGGCCAAACCCATCTCTGTGCTACCTCTGATAATGCCTTAGGGATTGCACTAGCAATTAATCCACAAAACTCTTTCTGGAGCAGTTTTTACTGGTAAAAAACATTGACACAGATTCTTGAGCAGGAAGGGAATAACTCCCAGCTTAACACAGATGTGAACCATGACCATTTTTAATACCATCTTTAGTTTCTTTAAGTTTGGAGACTGACACAGACTTAATCTAGTCCTGATGCAAACAGTGATGCAGGTCATCCCAGGCTGCTTTGGGTAGATTGCTGTGGCAATCTGATCACATTTTGTATAAAAGAACTGACAAACCTATGCCACAGGAAAAAAATGAAAGTAGGAGATCTCTGCGCAAATTCCTGTATGCAGTGAGATGACTAGGAGGTTAGTTAACTGAGCTCTTGGATGCATTGAGTAACTCGATCAGTTCAAGAGCAGGTCCAAGAGTCTAGACTACAATACCATTCATTCTTTATAGAGAAAATGGTAGAAAAAATTAGAGGCATTCACCTCAGCCCTAACCTTTAAAACACAGACAAACGCTGTACATATCACTGCCTAAGGAATCACCAACTCTGTTCTTACTTATTGATGATTATTTAGAAAGTAGAACTATGATGAGGCACCACAGTAACATTTCTGAACTAAAACAAATCATTATTGCACAATGGTATTGGTTAATGCCAAGGATACTTGGCATTAAGTAAGATACTTCAGTATGAAGGAATCTTTACACTTCATTACATATTTAAGAAGCTCCTTTGGGGTTTTAAACACCTTTGTGAATAACTACCCTTAAAAGACACTACCTTATAAAAAGTAAGTATACCATGTTAAACAGGATTTTACACGGTGGACAAAACTGGCTCATGAATAATGTAACATCTTCAAAAATCAAATCAGATGTCAGTAAAGCAGAGAAACAGCTAGTAAAAATGCTGATTTCTAACAAAGATCAGAAATGGAGAGCAAATTTTAAAAACTTTAGGAAAATCTCAAGGTAAAGAAGATATTTGTGATAATTCAAAGGAAAAGGTAACAGAAAGGAATAGATCCAGCACATTGAGTTTATGCATTTAGGGAGGTTAAAAAAAAACATTGTTCAAAAGAGGTCTATTTATAAAGTATAGCACTAAAACTCTTCTTGCATATATCATGCTGTTATTTAGAGGAAAAGTATTTATACACTGCTGAGAACAGTGCCCAAACCTGCTGGTTTTAATCACTCAAATGCAAAATGCAGTAACAATTACCTAAAGCAAAGTTTTGGATATTGGGGTTTTTGTTCCAGCATGATACAAATAGCAGCAAATACCCTCAGCTGGCTTGGCCCTATGACTGCTGCATTATTATAGATGCAACATTCCTTCTCCAATTTATATTTCCTGTCCCATAAGCAAAACTATTGCTTGACTCACAGACAAAGAAAACACAAGATTAAACTATGTACCTTACACAATATGAAGGAAAAAAGTATCTTGGTGATACAGAATTGTCTAGTGTGTTAAATAATCAAAGATGGATATCTGACCTTATTATCATTGAACCTCTGCTTTCTTCACTGGTGATTTTTGAAGAAAGTACAAATAAAGTATTTTGTATCACCCATCTTATATGAGTATGATACCACAATAAATGTCACCATCTCTACCTACAGTGCGCTCTGAAAAATTTCTGAAGAAGTTGATAGGAGATTCTAGATTTCCTAGAGTTATATATCCTACAATTTTTCTATATATACCACACTAGGTGAGGATCTGACACAGCCAATGAATATATCTATTAATGAAACACAAAAAGATTTACCACTTCCTTAAAAAATCTATTTTAAATATTCTTGCATAAACCCTTTGTTTTACATATGGAATAGAAAACTGACTTTGAATATCTTACTTTTGGGAACTATAATATTACTATAACATTACTAAGCTATCAGAGGGTATCAGAAACTAAACAATGTAATTTTTAAATGAGAAAAGAACAACTTAACAAAATCATCTGTGGATAACAGCTTACAAACTCTAACAATGTTAAGAAAAAAATTGTCATTCAGTAATAAAATGGTTTTATAAAATGCAAAAATTTATCTTTCAAGGTGAGAAATGTTTCTATAACAGTTGTGCTGTATTTAATATCTTGCTAAATAAAGCATACAAAATGATCATTGTATCTGTGAACCATTTTGTTTAGTGGACATGCATGAGGTTGACAGAGATACAGAATACACCAGTTTAGACGCTATTGTACATTTTGATGGCTCAAAGATTCAAGCTTTTCTGTTCTTCGGGTATGTGTCAGAGCACATACTTTTCAAAATTGTACTTACCACAACAAAAATTTTTTCCACCCGTTTTTGCACCTCTCATGCCTTATTTTCTCCCCTTGAATTCCCACTTTGCAGTCAATAGCCATTAACTGGAGCTTCTACCATTCAGGATTGCTCCAGAGAGATCACTGTCAGATAAGAACTACTCAATTGCGTATATCTCATATTTATCCAAATAAGAAAATAATTGATAAATGACACTGCCTTTCAAATAATAACAGAGAATGTAATATCTAGATTTTCAGTTCAGCCCCAAAATGCACTTCATAGCAAAAAGAATGTACAATATACAATATCATGATCTGTTAGTACTCGTGTGTTCATGGATGCCTCCCGTTACGCACCTCAGGGAGCAAACCTCCTAAAGTGGGAAGCGTCTGTTGGAAAAAGAGAACGTTAGGCTGCAACACTGAACAGCTGTGATGGCAAAGGGCATGGACAATGTTCATAAGGAATGTTACCTTTCAGCAGTTTTGTACTTAACAACAAACATACACGGTGCTATTTTTTTACACATTTGCACAAGCATACTCTCCCAATGTTTTGGCTGTAATATTAACAATTTATATTCTGGAAAGTATGTGTGGGATCATTTTAGCACCAGCTAAAAATATTAGAAAACCTGAGGACTTTATTCTTTTGAATAGCAAAAAGTGATACTTGCTACCTGGGGAGTTTTTTTATTTTATATTTCAAGTCTTTGAATCCTCATGCAAATCAAGGAATCTTGATTAAAAAAGCCACCTCCTGCTACAACTACTCTTTCCTTTTATAGCAGTACAGTCTTTTCCTTTACATAAAACACTATCATACTCTACTGTAGCTGTTAGAATAAAATAGATGAATAGTAACTAAAGGCTTACTAAATAGTTACCTCTTTACATTTTAACTGCTGACATTGCTGGGACAATGAAGCAAAAATTCCTTTTATCACCTTGTCTTTTGATCAATAACTGTAAATCTATTTTTCAGGATTATTTCCTACACAGCAGAAATGATTTAAAGCAATTTATTTTATAACATGAAACTACAATTTACTTATGCATTTAACAGGATTGCAAAGTCATTAGTGAATGGTTAATAACATTACACAGTTTTTCAAGTAACTACTGCAAACTTGAGATTTCTTCTGTATGATATTTACTCCTTTTATAATATGTACATTCAGATGGAGCATATACCCTACTTGGGGATGGGGGTGCATAAGGAGAGAACCAAATTTTATGTCACTAAGAATAAACTGATAGAGTTATTTTAAAAAAATCTTATTTTAGAACTCCAAAACTTGAACTTGAAAGATATTGATCAGGGAAATTTGGTCATAGAAGATCAGATGGAATTAACAGAATACCATGTAAAGATATTCTCAAATGTTTGCAGGATGAAGGCCATGGAAGTTTAAATATGTGACTTGAATACCAAACTGATGCTTTGGGATCTTTTTTAAGAAACCTGAAGGAAGGTTATTTCATTATTCCTTAGAGCTATTTTGTTTAATGACGTGGGAATCTCCAAGGATATAATAACAATAACAATAGATTATTATTAATATTAGAATAATAATAACATTAGAATAAGTACTCCTAGACTGTAATTTTGTAAACCTATATGGCATTCAAGATCCTGCTTACAAAAATCCCATTCCACACGATTTCTGTTCATAGTTACACAATAACCAAATACTAAAAAAACCCCCACATCACCACGACCCCAAAACCACGGGGAGCAATCTATCTGCAATATCTATTAGATATCACATCCAAGTAACTGCAATTCGGATGTGCTAAAATATTTTGAAAATTTCCTTTTTAAATTCTCCACATTTCCAGCTTTAACCCTGGGGCCCTAGGACACCACATTATACTGTCTTGAAGGTTAATAGGGCTGTGGCACAATACTCAGCTCTACATCCACAGGCAGAAAAAGTCATCCTGTGGACAAGATTATCAACTAATTCTCTAGCAAAAATACTGTCCAGTGAGCTGCACATGCGCATACTATAAAGGAAAGATAAGACTTCTAATTCATTTGAGAGCTGTCTTGTTAGAAACATTTGCAGCTAAGAAAAAAAATGCCTTCAATCAGAAGGTGGCAATTTGTGACCCTAATACTAGTGGCCAAAATACATGCAAAAAGACAATGCTGGAATGGAGACAACGTCATTTAAGAATACCTTCTAAAACTGCTGACTGCAAGACTTGTTCCTTATTCTAAAACAAGTAACCACTATGTGATAACTTTATATATATACTTTGTTTCATTTGTTTAGTTTATCTAAATAAAGATGTAAAGAATTACATATCAAATCACAATCAAGTCTTTCTCATTTAGGGGTACAGCCTTAGTTCATTCAGTTGTCTAAAGACAACTTGCCTTATATCTTGTGTTGATTCAATCAACAATTCATCAACATGCAACAACAGCAGGGCCCAAGTTTTAACTTGATTTACAACTCAAAATGAACTTGGGCTATAGCACCTAATTATATACACTGTCCAAGAAAGATAAAAGTTTTGGAAAAAAAATTTGAAAATAAAACCATGTTAAACTCCAATGGGAGAGAATATAAGGAATAAACTTAGGGACAGACTGTAGTGATGAGTTGTGGGCAGGCAACCAGATATAACTTAAAATGATTGAATTGCTGCCATTTCAGTTTATCAGCATCTTATTATTTTAACATTGAACAGTGTTTGTCGAACAGATAATTAGTTAGGAAGATACATTTTCCTCCAGGGCAATTATTAATTTCCTTCTGACTTCAAAGAAATGAAAAAGCTCTTAGTGTAGATAAGCACACCATTATATTTCAAGTCTGATTTAGATTCTCAGAGAACTGACGTTGCAATATGATACACAACTGAAAAGGAAAAAAGTGGTTTGTTTAGTTTTTTAAATCTGTTTCAATCACTATGTCATTATTTAATATTTAACAACCAGATTTAAATTCAACTACTCCCCTACCCCACCCCAAGCACTATATTCAATGAACTGTAGGTTTTCTATAGTATCTTTCTTCAGAAATCCAGAAAAAGGCTAGTACTCAACTTCAAAGGATTGAGTTGCTTGTAAAGATGCTTACGCACTGCACTGACTTTCTCTGTTCCGTGTTGAGCTTGGATTCAGCTGAGCTAAAACTGATATCTACTATTATAAAAACAGAAGAATCATTTTAGGATTAAAAACTGGAAAAGGGATTAAGAAAGCTCATTCTTCAACCAGCCACTGCTAATTCCCTTTTTCTCTCTCTACAACTCTGCTTTCCCATATGAGTAGCATCCACATACCTCACAGAAAAATAGTATTAGTAAAACATATTACCAGACATGGAAAAAATATCTATTGAACAATGTTGCAATTATAATATTGCCATTAGCTATTCTATGTATTATCTCTAAATACCGAATAGTCAAAGAAAATTCTTAAACAGTATTTTCAACTTTAATTCTGTATTACTTTTTTGCCAGCATGTCAACATGCTATATTTACACAAAAATTTGAAGCTACAGATTATAAAGTAGTTGCATAAGGCGTATTTCCTAGGTAAAACATTTGTAATCTGCTGTGTATGTTGGTTTATGTGCCAAAATAGAACTAGTTATAAACAAAAGATTTTTGACCATTTATGTTTTTGGACAATAAAATGCCAAACAAAACCAAACTGGAATCGGACTGAATTTATTCTTAAATGATTTTGTCCTAAAAAGTTGTATTAACTTCACTACACAAAAGAAAAGTCAAATTCATTCACAAGAGGAAAGAAACAAAATTTGAGTTGGTTTAAACTTATCATGATGACCCATTTTGCCCAGAATGCAAAACAATCAAGTTGAAAATTAAAACATAAGGAAATGGACTCAATTTTAAATTTTATTTCTTTAATTTCTTGCCTTCAATATTATATCAGAGCCTCCACCTTTAAAATAAACTGGTTACTACGGAGACAGTAGTAATTGCCACATAGTAATGCTCACATTGTAAGCAGAGTACCTTATGTTTTTCAATTTATACCATAATTTTCTTTTTGTTCCAAAATTAGCAGTTTTAATCATAGTTTTCAAAACCAATGTTAGAAATTAAGTGAAAAACAGTTTACTGTAAAACTCACATGAACAACAGGAGGATCAAAATCATCATGCATTATGGAATAAATACACATCTATTAAATAGTAAGTTTTTATTGGTTGGTTCGTCACTAACCAAGGCTGTATCTATTTTGGTGGGAAATTGAAAATCTAATTATCTTTCTACAAACATAAATATGAGTTAGAACATGCTACGTGTTCATCAATAAATGGAGCAAAGTAAAGGCAGGCATGAAAAGAAAAAGCAAAAATGCATTTTTCCCTTTCTACCTTATAAAGGGGGTGGGGGAGAGAACCTGTATCATGAGCAGAGACCAATCTTTTTTTCTTCACTACTCACTCATCTCATTCCAATACCCAGTTTTTAACCCGGTTATGATCTAATTCTGAGCTCTTGGTAGGCTAGGATTCAATTGAGTTAAAGATTTTTAAACTCACTGCCAGTCAACCTTATCATGAACTTTCATTATGTGCATATAATTAATTGGGTCCAATGAACAATATCAGCACTGAGTTATAGACTTTTTCCCCCCACCATATAATTAGAATATAATTACCCACAGGATATCAGAATGATGCAAAACCTTTCCTCTAAATGTGCCCTCATTAGGAAACAAGTCTCAATGTACATTTATTCAATCAGTATGAATTAATTAAAATGTTACTGAAATAAAAGAGAGTAACATTAAAGTGTATCTGACATCTATTAAAAGACTATCACTTGAGATCGGCACACACGGTTTATAACAAAACTCATTTAACTTGAACAAAAAACTTCACCATACAACAAGCCTTATATATGGTAAACAGAAAAGTAAAACAGACTAGTTTTAAAGTTGACAGGATACATTTTACTAAAACATTTACAATTACTGCAGTGAGATACTAAAAATCTTTGTAAGATATTGAATCTAGACAGATATGTCATGCTTTCATTATGTACACAGTATCAACTCTGTGAGTCTCCCCATTGTTTCATTTTCAGCTGATGACGCTTATCATATTTAAGAATAACATTTGATAAATTCTATTTTGTGCAGTTTTGAAGATGGAAGCCCCTTTATTTACCATCTAACTTTCAGATGACCAGGTATCTCGGTTCTCTCTCCAGCCATTAGGAGTTACTCTATTTTAGAGAAATCTCTCCTATGTCTAAAGAGATCCTAAATGAGTAGTCGAGAATAGACACCTGAACTGAGATGGCTGTGTTTAGGGGAGTGTCACCCTTTGTGATATTACAATCTGGAAGGGTATTTTTTTAATCTACTTTTCACAGTTGAAATAGTGATTTTGAACATTAATGGATACCTAGGAAATGGAAAAACTGAGATGATATGGACCTGAACAACAAATTGTAGCTTAGAGATCAGTTTGGCAGCACTGGTATACTACATGGTGCTGTGAAATGCAATTCATGAAAAAAGTCCTTTATCTCTGTAGAAATCGTTGAGGCTGGACTTCACAAGAACTGAAGAAATGAGACATGAGACACGTTGGAAAAAAAAAGGCAAAAGTATGAGTGTCCTTAGTTTTGCAAAAGAGAAAAGATGAGAGGGATTTAGCCTGTACTCTTGAAGGAAAACTTATGAGAAGGCATCTTGCAGAGATGAACTCTGCAATTTTCTGGAAGAAATCTGGACTTCCAAAGTTACAGATGGTAGGCAGGGCCAACAGTTTTCGGAGATCAAAGATACAAGATTTTTCATCTTGCTATTTTCCCACAACTCCTATAACCTATTCTGTGGGAGAAGAAAATACATTCCTCTCTGACACCTCAAAATACTCAAGGATAAGCCTAGTACGGCAAGCATTGTGGTTATCTACTTTTATTTACCTTTCACATAAACGTAGCATTGCAAGAATTTTATTGCTCATCTGATTATTGAATCTAAATCTGTGTCTTAGTTGAAAGACCCTTATGCTGTCAGGTATATCAGATTTGATATGTCTAAACACAGAATTTTTATTATCAAACACTTATGTTTAGACAATTTTGACAAAGATATATTCATTGGTTTTGCTGTCATTATTGAGAGTGCTGGTTCACATACATTGAAGTATTACCTTTCTAAAAAGGAATCCCCGTAACAGGAAATAGAAGAAACTAATTAAAAATTATCAACACTAATAATATATACACAATAACCAATCACTTTTAGAAGGAATTTCTATTAGCTAGGTCACTGAGATACTATTTGTAACATAAGTAAACTCAAGATTGTAATGCATTTTTGGAAGAAACTGCTAGATGAGCAAATATACTACAAAATTTTTAAGTCCCTGTTAAATCACAGTAAAATACATTTTCCATTCCTAACAATATACATTGTGCTGAAATACATGTCTTGTGCTATGTTGTTAGTAATATGATTCTGATACAGGAAAACATATTTACTTCTGCTTATGCCTTCAAAATTTGGAGATAAAACAAACCTATTCAAGGGTGATTTGACTCTAGAGTGGTTTTACATATCCTCTAAATAACTTAACTAAACTCCAATTGTGGAATAAAAATCTTAATTCCTCTATTCCTCTTCCTCTCCTGAAAAGAAAATGGAGTTACACCAATATAATTGAAGATGAAATTTCATGCTGAGGTTTATTCCATTTATAACAATGGCAAATGATAAATAACATTAAAATGAAAACAGTCCAATAACAAAATCATAAATTCCAAATGCTGACTTTTAAAGTATGACCTAAAATCTTGAAAATTAAATAACGTGCTGCAGAATGTAATCATCCAACAAACTTAAAATAATATTTTAGAATTATTAATCAGAGCTTGTCCAGATGATACCAAAATACGATACAGATAAACTACAAAACTGCTCTTATGACTTTTAAAAATATTTAAAAATATTTCGTAAATATTAAAACCAGGTTTCCATTGCTTTACCTTCATTGAGAGCAATGGAATAATCCCAAAGTCTAGCATCCATTCATTTGCAGATTTATAAACAGCCAAACGAATTAATCAGAAAATAATTAATTTACAATAGGTACAAATATTATGGTTCCTAGTTATCAGAAACTGGTTTAAGATTAGGAGGTATATCTTCTTGTTTTTCCTCCCCACAAAAAATTATTCTCTCTTAAGTTCAAGCATTTCTTACTCTTATTATGAAATATATTTAAAGAGGACCACTCATCTGTTCTTTTATGAATATGATGATGCTATGACTTTTATAAGCATAAAATATCCAATTTAGTATGTGAATACATAAGTTAATTCTCAAGCTCTTTTTTAATGATAAAATGGTCAGCTCTTTTCTATACAACCTACACATAGCATGCATTTTTATTTTCATTGAATTGAGTTATTGTTTTTGTGGACAGAGAAATTTACTGTTCACGATTGCAGAATAAAATATACCATAATATTGATGCATAGCTTACTGCAAGACCAGTGTCATCATTCTAGGTAACCTCCGGCTTAGATCAGAGACCTCAGCATTGCAGATATACAATATGCATCCCAAGCAAAAACTGCTCATAAGAATAACTTCATTATTCTGGGAAGTTGGATCTATAAAAGATGTAAAATGTAGAAGTGTTCTGCCTATACAGTTTCTGGTAAGTACAGTCTGAATAAGTGATAAAACCTGAGTCAGCTTCAGTTATAATATGCCCTACAGAAAATTCATTCTCACATGAAGGAAAATGCAATATGCAGAGGATAAAACATGCTCATGCCTCTAAACGCATCAGCCAGGATTACACACTGTGTTCAAGGTTCACATAGTCCTGTGAATGTAACAAATACCTGGCCGACAGTCCCAGCATCATTTTAATGCTCCATATGAGAGGGGATTACAACCGAAATACACGTAAGGACAACTCACCAATACTACTGGGCAGATTGATGTGGGTGGTAAAATATGGTCCTTCAAAGGTCCACAGTCACATTCAGGTTTCAGATGTGAAGCACACTTGTTATGCAACTACAGAAAGACAGAAAATGAAGATTCAACTTAAACCTTTTACACTTATGGCGTAAACAAATGAGCATCCTAGAACAAGGTGAGTTTCATTAATATAATTATTACTAGAGTACTAGAAAGAAATGAAACACATTGCAGTGGAAAGTCTCCTAGGATTGACAAAACCAGTGAATTTATATTGAAGCAAAGAATGGTGGATTAAGGTATTTTCCAGTTTGGAAATTGTATGTGTGGATCAGCACACAAAATAAGAATGGGGCATGGCAGTACAGTAACATCAGCATAGTGTTATCAGTGATCAAAACATTCATTTCAGAATAGAGCTCCTTGCATTGAGGCAGGAGCTTCTGCTCTACTGAATTACAGTAAGTAATTCAAGGCAGCCTTTGGTGTAACTCTGTTTCCTACCTGACGCTGATAGTCACTACCCATTCATATGTAAGAGAATAACATAGGAATATCTAAGAGCTTTAAGCTCCATTGGGTAAATTTTGGTCTGGATAGAATCAACGTTCAGGCTTCCACCCACTTCTGAGGAACCTGAATTACCCTCCCTTTTTCTAATTTATTCTCAGCATTCATCCAGTTGTCTTGAAAGCAATGACAAGAGTTCTACTCTGAAAACATGAAAGGAATATTCTGAGATCTGCTGACTGAAAGAGCATTGGCTTACTTCTGTATTGCTACAAAGGTTGACGGGAAAAATATGTATTGAACATCAACATAAAATGGCAACAAGTAATGATAAATCTACTGAAATACTTTGCATTAGCAATCAAGAGTTCTTGTTGATAATTTAGAATTTAACTCAATTCAAATGTCTCTAACTACCCGGTCACAGAGTAAAAAGGAACAGTTGTGTGCTTGGATCATGCAAAACATTCACATTTAATTGTTATACTTTGCAATATCATTAGAGATACTCAGAAGGAAATAAACCTAATATTGTGAAATTTTGTGAAAGTTTATTATTTTGGACTTGATGACCTTTAAGGTCTTGTCCAACCTAAATTATTCTGTGTTTCTATTTTTACATTGATTTAATAAACTGTGCATTAAGGTCTTCAGGTAACATTGGTTTCCCGTGCTGCTTATTATTTTTGAGGAGATACATATATTTGAAGTAAAGAAAAATAATTAGGCTAATAAATAACAGGAGTTGTAAAGTAAAAATCTTATTAACAGGTGATTTAAGTAGTATAATAGGTAGCATCCAGCATTAGTTCAACAGGTTCAATATCTGTTACAAAATCTGTAGTTCAATGTCTGCATCTGTAAATCACATTTTTCCAATGACTGATTCATTTTCCCTCTACACAATTTAACTCATATGAACTCTATTAAAATCACAATAAAATTGCACCAACCTCTAATGTATATAAACTTTACTTGTAATATGGTCTTCATTAAGTTATCTGGTACAGTTAATGCTGACATAACATTTCTGAATTTTGAACTGAATGGCACCTAATATTAGCATTGCCCATATTCATTTATACTGCAAAGTTACCTTTTTAGGCAGTTACTTAGCAACAGAAAATAAAAGTCTAACAAGTTTCGATTTACTCTGAGCTTAAAGCCTTATTGTGAGAGTATTTTGGTAGTCCTGTAATCTAAATCATTTGTCATGCTAATTCTCTGCCTAAGTGGTAAGGCTACTTGTACCATAATTAATGCACACCAGGGCACATTACATCAAATAAAAGTATCTTCACACATTCAGTGGTAATTAGCAGCTTTGCTACTTGGTGGCACGCAAACTTATCTATGAAAAAATAGCTTAATCTTCTTATTAGTCTCTGCTGATTTTTGACAACAGAATTGGCACACAGTAGATAACAAAAATGGTAGAAGATATGTAGCTTTAACGAAAATAACACTTTGCACAATGAAATAAAATAACATGCATCTCTTCTCAAAAAAAATCATTTCAGCAGGTTTTAAATACATTTCCCCCACATCCAGATCCCTCATAAGCCTGCAAAGTAGGAAAAAATGTAGTTGCTGGAGGTAAAATGAGGGGAAAAAACATTTACATGACCTTGGTAGATAACTACAGAGTGTACGGGAGAAGGATCAGGGGTTTGCCTGAGAACTCAGTATAGCAACCTTTCTTAGTGAAAAATACCTCTAAATTTTGGGACTTGATTCAGTTATGTGACAGCAGAAGTGACCCCATTTGGTTGTAAGGACAGAAACTTAAAATGCATGAAAGAGGCTCAGAATTAGTTGTGTAATAGCTGGCATCCTCTTAGATTACAAGACATAAATGTGTGGTACAAGGAGTTGAAAAAGTGTGAAGGATGTGATGATAACTATATAATTTCAGAATATCCATTCAAAAATCATGTATCTGATAGAAATTTAGAATACCTTTTTTATGTAATAAAGCTATTTCTATTAGAAAATAAAGTTATTGCATAGAATATATCAAATACAAAGAATTGCAAGCAAAGTGAATAGGAGTAATTTGAAGTATTTACAAATACTCAGACTTCACTTATGTGTCTATTTTACATCTGAAGCTATAAAAATTAAATAAAAATATTAATAAAGTTATGTTTAAAATAAACATTAATTTAATGAAACAAAAAATCTTTAAATTACTGATGGAAGTACAATTACAAAATTTTAAACCTCAGTGCCAATATTTTCAATTTTGGCTGTCAAAAAACACAGACTCATTTTAATTGGAATTTTGACAGACATTTAGGCATTTAAATATGCACACAAGCACTTAGGATATTTTCAAAAGTATTTAGCCTCTTCCTTTCCTTTACAGTGATTTCAGTTATAAATAATTCTTCAGTATTTCTTCAGTGAATACCAGTTCTTATGAAAATCCTCTGAATCTTGACATTCATCTTCAAGGAGTAAAAAACCTTTACAAATCTGGTCCAGATTCGCACAAAATAATGAGAAAATAATTTCTACTCAGGAGATACAGAATTTGAAACTTCCTTTGACTTTAAGAGGGAGCCTTACATACTATGTATTTCTTGAATGACAAACACATATTATACAGATGTAAACACTTTTAATATAGAGAGCAGAACACTCTTATTTGTCTTGCTAAACACATATAGCCATTGCCTAAATTTAATTATCTGCATGCAAAAAAATTTGGATTGGGCGTTTTATTCTCTACATAAATTATCCAAATTTTGACAGCAATCTGGAGTACATATTTGCTTTCTTCTAAAATATTGGTTTTTAAATAATCATAACAGCTTATCACTGAAAGTATCCTGGATCTATTTTCTTTGATGATGTTTCATATTTTGTATTCTTGTGTTAAGAAAAAATGTCATAAAACATCCTAACTTGTATGTTGAAAACAAACATTCACAAATGCCTCAGTCTCATATTATTACTTAAAGCACTGAACAAACAACTGCTGTTCCATAACAATAACAATAATAGTAATGATATCAGCAAACCCAGCAAAAACCTGTGAAGAAGGCTGAATCTCTCCCCATTTAGATTTAAATCCTGCCCTGGCTAGAAACAGAAATACTGGTGTTGCTCCTTCTAGCATGAAGATCTCACTTATAAGGGCAGTGTTCCCTGAATGTCATTAGTTTCAGTTATTGGTTCCTGCTGAATAAGGAGTGCTCAAAAGTTGTATATATTAGACTTGGTGCACAGGTTCGTATATTATCAACATGTCTCTGCTATTGTTCCCCAACACTTGGAATCATTGTATCCTACCAGGTATCCTCAATTTCATTTGCCTGTCAATACACCACAAATTAGGACTTTGCCCTAGTGTCACAGTGACCTTGATTTTCCCTGGTACTGAAAATGCTTTTGCAATCTTTCCGTAGCATAGGTTGGGAATTCTGCTCTTTAGAGTGGTATACATTACTTTCATTTGGATATTGTCATGAAGTGAAGCACACCTTTAAGAGTATTGGCTTGCCACAATTAAGGAGTCCTAAGAATATTCTGTATATACCATCCCTTAAACACACATTAGCCATTGCTGATGACAAAACTGAATGAGACCTTTCAAGTTATTAGGCTATAGAAAAATATTCTATGATTTTTATCTCTCTAACCCATGCTAAAGGTTTTACTATAGTATACTCACTGTGATCTGACACCAAACACAGTGAAGTCCAGTCAAGCCTTGGTAACATTTTATAGTTTTGTGACACTTATCACATTTTGTTGGACAGTTGCCTTCTACCCAGAAATGGTGCATTACCTGCAAAAGAAAAATGCGAATATACATAGAGTTACTAAATTAACAGGTACATGGCAAAGTTAATGCTACCCCAAACTTACTTCAGTATTCTTTTTAGACTTCACATATGTTTTGATGCAAGATGCGGGAGCTCTTGAGACACAGCGTTCATGGACTGTATACTTGCAAACTGCAAAAAAGAAACACATTAATAGATGTTGAGGCAATGGTGTTTCTGACTACATTTCTGTGAAACAAATAACATTACCAGCATGCCATCTCTGAATAATCAATCCAATCAGTCAATGAAAACTTAAACTAGACTGCTTTTTCCATGGAATACAAAAGGCCAATTAGAACAGGAAATATTATGCAAGTGAGAAATCCAAGAATGCACTATCATTGCATAACAGGAAATGCTTAATTAAATCAGAGATCGCTAAATTTTTTCACAATAATTTCCAAATGACAAAAACATTAAAGATAAATTGATGACTGCCAAATGGTGTCATTTGCTAGTAAGAAGAAATCTATATTTTATGAACTATAGGCATGAGAGCAGCCGGCAAGTACAAAAATAAAACCCAATTAATTTGTTATTCCTTCTATTGATTTATAAATCTTAAATAGCTGATTAATCCATTTTCAAATAGCAATTGTTTTCATGCATTCCATGTAACCACCATATATTTAACTACTTTAACTCTTATTTTCCAAAATACCAACTCCTCAGAAGTCTTTTTTTTTTCCCCTAAGCCCTCCACATCACCTTTAGGTAACTGCTACAGTTGACCAGGTCTGTAGTGACCAGATCACACTGGCTGCATTTGGAAAACACAAATATACATTTGGAAAACACAAATATACAATGCAAAATTTTATTGACTTCAATGATATAACTGTGCCAAGATAAGGAAATAATGCTATAGCTTATGCCTGCATTCAAGGGAGTCAACTATTAAAAACTGAGAATGAATTTCTCCCTGCACGGTGTCTCACGCTTTTGACCTCGAGAGCAATTAAGCACAAAGTACTTCTAAACACCTTGCTTGCACCTATTACACAAACCCAGTGGGAGGCGCAGCCATTAATCAGACAAACTGCAGGGAGTAACATTGTTGATTGGACCATGGAGGGATGGTGAGGCCCCCTACGGTTCCCCCTTTTTTTTTTTCCTCCCACACAATCTAAAATGCAAATAATGAAATCTATAGCAATGCTTTGAAAATATATTGAAGAAAAAGCTTAGCAAGATACAGAAATAGTGAAATAGTTTTTTAAGTAGACTCATGCCTCTTCCTACATGAAGTAACTGAAAAGAGCATGTGGATGTTCTTCAGATACTTTGAGACCACTGTTCTCAGCAAATAAACGCCAAACACAATAAGAAATATATTCTAAAGAGGTACACTGCAGTAGAAAAAACATCAGTCTGACATAAAAGAATATTGAAGAATATAACATTTCAAGATCTAACAGTCAAATCAGCATTTTATATATATATATATATTCTAGTTACTGTCATAAGCATTTAATAACCTGAAGCTACGCAATTTCTATTTGTTTGAATTTTAAAAGATATATCTCTCTCATGTCATAGTACCGTGAGTGAAATTGAAAATATGATGTGAAAATCCACACAAGGATTTACATCCAAATTATGTTTTAAAGAGATCTGTGGCCCACAGAACAATTCAAAACCGTCATTCTTTCCTACTAATCTCAAATTAAACCGATAGAAATATACAGGCAGAAAGGTCCTGATCATCTGTGATGGGCTATCTTTCATACCAAAAATGGAGAAAGTAAGTTACACTAAGAAACTGATTAATTTACCAAAAAGAACAATGAAAGGTGACTTGGTACCATCCTGAGAAGAATACAGTGGATACTAAAGATCTCATTAATCTAATGGAGCAGGGCATAACACGAACCAGTCATTGGAACCATTTACAAGACATATTCAAATCAGAAAATAGGTCTTAAAAAAAAAAGATGATCAATCATGGGAACACACCACAAAAGAAAGATATGGATCATCCATCTCTTGAAACATTCAAATGGAGACAAGGTATCTTTCATAAAGCCTTGGTTTCTCAAGATACACTTTATGAGCTGGTCAAACACAGATTATTAGGATATACATAGATACGACTCAAGGAACTGAATGCCAGTGATTGCACCTAATAGTCTAAAGAAGGTCAAATTAGATGCAGTAGATTTTCTGTTGTCCTTTACCTTAAAATATATAATCGGTAAATATGTGGATTGAAATTAATGAATACAAACCAAGTTACTATACCAAACTGTTACAGAAACTTGATTTCTGGGAAACTGGGATTTTGACCTTCACAATTAATAGAACAAGAATTCTGTGCAAAATTTGAATCAACAAACATGGGACTTAGATGTTTGTCAATGTACCTCTTAAAGAATATCTATAATTATTAACAAGAAAAAAAGAGGAATAACAAAACTATAGGGCTGAAACTTAACCATGATACTTGCTAATAGAAAATAAAAAACATCACAAAAATTAAAAAAAAAAAGAGTGGCAGACTCAAAAGGGAACTAATAGTGATAACTCTAAAATTGTTTCTGATAAAAGAGAAAAATCCCTCAAACAACACATTTAAAAGCCAAATAAGCTGAAAAAATAAAAAAAGAACCTTGAGTGCTCAAGCATAGAAGACAAGAGGGAGACACTACTGTGCTAGCAATGCCTTTGTACTGGGAAGCTACGAGTTCTTTGTTATGCAGCAAGAGCAACATTTTTAGGAATAGACATGTATACACATGGACACCGAAATACTTATACTCACAAGAACAGCAGAGACCTTGCTTGCCTACTCCGATTAGCATATTCAAACAAAGATTACAGTAGGCAGGCTTGTTAAAGTGTTTCAATCTCCATACATGCTGCCCATCATCTTTCACATTCTGCACAGGACATAAAAGAAACAGATTTCACTTAATAAAATAAACAATGAAATATATAAGTGCCAATAAAAATTGGAGATTGACTCAAGAACGTAAAAGACAAGCTGTTACTTCATTTTAATACTCTGTACCAGATCACAGCATAACCATTCTAAATATACAGGCAATGATATAACAAAAAAATTCTTCAGAAGTTCATGGACATCCATGTGTTTCAAAAAAACCCACCAGGCTGCTGTCGTCCCTGAAAAACAATTCTATCCAGATATCTAGGCATTATTATAAATAGTATTAAAAATAAAATTTATTCTACACTAATCCTAAAAATAAAGGTGCTGCAGGTTAGAAGATAAAACTCGCCAAAACAAACAATAGAAAGGGTTTTTTAAAACTGCACAGATATTCTTAATGACTCTTAGAATTAGGAACGTATACCAAGATTTGCAAAGTGGGAAAACTAACCACATCACAATAACTATTGCCAGCTTTAATTTATGTTACCCTATACAGCCAATAATCTATCAAAACCCACCTACTTAAGGGTGAGATTTACACCCCGGACCTCTTCTCCAGAAATAGAATTCCTTAGTTTTAAGCCCACATTTTTCAGTCAGCTGTAGCAGTATACTCAAATCTTGCATGAATAAATTGATCAACTGATCGGCACTAAACAACTTAGGGGCCCACTGTAACTTATACAAACCACTAAAATATTATCAAATCATTTATATTTATGAAAGTAAGCTTTCTGTTGCATGATTCTCCTCTTCCTTAATGGAATCATTCTGAGATCCCTCTGTTATTTGATGGTTTAAAAAATTATTTGCACTTGATACAGACGTTAAATTAATTCTCTAAATTCCTGGCTTCTTGGCAAGTCTGGCCATGAGGCTTTTGCTTTTTTTAATCAATATCATGATATTTTTTTAAATTTTTATTTATGTTTTAACAAATATAACATCCAGTGGAATAACAGCAGTTACTGTCTATCAGCTGGAAAGCAGATGCAGTAGTTTGATGTTTCATTGTGTATTGCTGAAGCTCTATAGTCTTTTGGTCATGTCATTACCAAAAAGAAATTGTCACATAGCTAAAGGGAGTCACACCAATCTCTGTTTCTCAGAAACCACATCAACAGCTGGTTCTTATCTAGTTTCTGATTTCTCACATCCAACTACTACTACTATTACTTGTCATCATGTATAGACAATATTTTTTACTAGATTTTCAATAGTATGATGGTTTTCACTGATAAGGACAGTCAATGTAAGTCAGTGGGCATAAATTTTAATAAAAATTCAGTTTTGTCCTATATTAGTATATACTATACACATTATGTCCTTAAAATCAGTATTGTTCTGTTCTAGGAGTTAGCTGTTACAACAAGTCAAATATGAGGAAGACTTCTTCATCCTTGTGGGTAAAAAGAAAACAAATCCTGAAGGAAAATCAGCACTCTAACAAATTAAGAATGTTTGGTTTGGAGCTAGGTCTAAGTCAGAACAGCACTTTGAATATTTCCTGCAAACTACCTAGAAACAAAAGGAAGTGAAGTCAGTTGAAATACTTTTTTTCTCTAGTGAGATATCAGGATCAGAGCCTAAGTGGAGCTTCCCCAGTATTATCAGCAGGAGTTCAAATGCCTTCTCTGACAGCTGGGCAATGTCAGGGTCCCCTTTCTGCAGAAAAAGCACAGCAGATGCCTAATGTGGGATTCTTAGGCTGGCAAAGAGTGTGGAAGTTTTCCAATTTCCCCTGAAGAAGCAGAAATAGATTCTGCAGCTGTGAAGCACTAGAAGCCTGTCAAGCTCCTTCATGACTGGCAGCTGAAGAGGATGTATTTCATTACATGGAGCTCTGTAACGTCTATTTTTCTTCCCATCTTACTCCCATATTCCACACATTTTTAAAGTATGGTTTAACTACAATATAGGTTGTGAGTTTCAAGTCTTCTGAAAGTAGACAATAAAGACAATCTAAACCCTTCTGAGAAAAAACAGCAAACAATTTACACTTTAACATCACTCAGGTCATCAACAGATACAGTCATAAACCCCAAGCACTTAAAATGTGAGCTGACCAGCCTTCCTTGGCAAAATACTTGCTGTTTGTGAAAATTAAGAGAAATTTATACTTATGCATAAACTCGCCCCTCTTCTACACTAGTTTTGTGTTACTTTTTCATTTTAATTTTATTTTTAAAGAATGACCATTACATGTGAATATGCTACTTCTTATTTGAACAGAACATATGGTCTAACTTAGCTGGCATTTTCCTTATCAGAAAAACAAACAAGTCTTGATGTGGGTGTTCTGCCAATTAAAACACTTAGCTGTGTTACAGACTGCAACTGATGCAAATCCATTACATAAACACAATGCACTTTTGGAAAAGAACAAATTAAATTTTTGCTCTTGTGCACTGCCAAAAATAAGCAATAAAGTGCTGCGTATGATTATGCATGCACATAACTTTTTAAAACACTGCCAAAGAAAAAAAAAAGACATAATACAAAATAAAGCCCCCTCAATGCAAGTCTTTAAGTATGAATAAAATCCACAATTCTGACACATCAGTGCATTTACTGACATTAACTCATTTTGCATCCATATCCTGAGGAAGAGTTTAAAAACAAATAGACATTGAGAAGAACTCAAAGCAGGGCAGGTACAGTAAAAATCTCTTCCTCACTTCATTATACACATCATTGAAAATCAAGCCTCCATATGTCACATGCAGACTTTAACACATAATGACAATAGCAACATTTATTTTGTTAACAACAGTTCTCTCAGCTTATGGTCCTGACCCTTCTACCATGGATTTGACTGCCAAGATGACCTGACCTTAAAAAGCGAGTCAACCATAAAAGAGTCAGCCTTAGAATTAGTGGAAAATTTTATGCTGTCACAGAATTCAGCTACACATCCCTAATCTAGTTTAATATTAACTTATTTCAGCTTTTTAGATATTTGTAGATAAAGGTAGCCAAAGTGATCTTCAGGTTTCAAGCACAAAATTCAAGATTCTGAGACTTAAAAAAGGTAATGAAATCACTGATAAATTATGATCCTAGCAAACACATCGTCTTTAAACAGCTACAGTGTGTCTGCAATACCAGCATGCTCAGTCTTTTCAGTGAGAAGTCAGTAACAAGCATCCAAATGAGAAGGATGTTATTGAGTAGCTGTTATTCTTTCCCTGCCTGTTATTTTGCTTCCATTTATTTAAAAAATATATTTAAATTTATTTACATGACTTGTTTAAGACAATTTTATGACTGATCATTGGGTACTGTTCAGCCAGTGTGAAAGGTGAGAAGAGTGTCCATTGAACTATGCAGCATTTCCTTTTATTACAAATGCAGTTATGTTCTATACTGCTTGCAGCAAAGAATTAATATCAGGTTTCGTTTTATTCAATTTGTTTTGGGAAGAGGGGGTTTTAAGTCTCTTCTGGTTCAGCTGGAGAGGGAGTAACCTCATTCGAGGGATATCCTATTTGGAAGGCTCCTCACTTCTAATTTCTGAGATATATTGTGCATGTGTGTTGGAGAAAGCAAACTAAACAAAAAACTTCCACAGCCTTCATCCACGCACTCATCCAGAAATAAAATTTTCCCACTAGAGGGAAAATTGTTTAAAAAAGCTTCATAAAAAGCCAAAGCATGAAGTTTCCCCGACCCCACCTCTCATCTAAAGAGACTCTAATGCTGCAGAAATTAAATTGTAAATAAAGGTAAATTTGTATACCTGCATGAAATACCATCTATTTTACACCTTATACACAGAACAGGTCAGTTACTCCTGGCTTTTCCTGAGCTTCTATCAAACTAAAGACAAAAGGAAAAGCGTGACTGTAGTAAGAAAAGGCATTTGCAAACTTCCTGCAAGCAAGTGGGAGCTAGCACAGTATAAAAGTCAGCAGCGCCGTCAAGAAAAGAGACGAGCACTTTTTTAGCAGCTCCCGCTGCCAAAGTCTCACAAAGCATTAACATCGCGGTCTCTGCTGGCGATGCTGTGAAATGACACCGGTAAAACAGCTGGCCTTATCACTTTGGGGGAGTCTGCTTCCAGCTGGGAAGGAGCTGGCACAAATCAGGCAAGCTACAGCTTCTAACAGGGGCTTGAGTTTACCCTCTGGACGTATGGAAATAGCATATGGTGTATCAGCACTTCAGCCTTTTAGAAAAGTTACCTGCCGTACTTCAGGCAGGACTTAGAGAAAGGTCTCTCAGGACAATAAAAGGCCGTATCACCTTCTTTCCTCACTGAACAAAATAGAAGTCTGTGAAACTGCCCAGCAGTCTGCTCAGCAGTCTGCCCAGCCTAGGATGACTACTCACAATACAACAGATACAACTCTAGACTTGCAAATGTTTGCACATCTCCAGTTTGGTTCCACTTTCACATACGCAGAGCTCAAACAGTAAGGTAATAATAATATAATATCAACGTAAGAAGCAGTATTTCCCAAGTGAGGACTCACGCTACAGTATTCTATCCCATATCTAATAAAAAAAAAATTAAAAATTTGCTTTTCAAATTATTTGACTGAAATCACATAATATTTGCTGCTTGAGGATCCAAAATAAAATTTTGGAGTATTTTCTTATTGTTTAATTGAAGCATAGTCACAATAAAACAAAAATGTTGGTCACATTGAAATTTACCCTGACTTAAAAGGTGAACTGGGTTGAAAATTACAATCGGTGACTTAAAAGAAAGGCATATTGGCCTGATTACAGATTATTGATAACTTTATGAAGGATTTGCTGGTGTTCAATTTCTCTCTCACCTTAAAGCAGCTTTTCAGCAACTGTACAGTACCAGGTACAGTGCAACCAGGTACAGTGCAACCATGACATCTAGTGGCCAGTGAAGAGGAAATAAAAACATTTCCTAAAACAGGAGATTTCTTTAAACTCTAGTACTTCGGAACTTGCATTTTATACCTACGTTTTGCACAATCACTGACAGAGGTGGTAGTAATGATCTGTTACAGGAGAAGTGGGACCAAAATATCTTGCATGGAATTACCTTACAAGAGAAACCAAATGCTTTTACCCTAACAGGGTGGAATAATATGGTACAAGTGAGGAACTCCTACCAAAGAGCAGAGTACAATGCAAATGGCTGACCAAACCTGTACTTCAGAGGCTTTTTGTGCTCAGATTACAAAGGAAATTTTAAGCAATGATAGGAGAGTCAATAGGGTAACTCTCCACCTTCACTTACAATGTTAATCTAAAATTAATGCAGAATGGAATAAAAAGGTCAGAAACTGAAGGTTTCTACTGTAGACAAGTAGAATAAGTAGCCTAGTGGTCACCAGTGTGCAATAGGCCACTTCCCAAAAGTGTAATTACCAACTGGGAGTACTGCAGGGATATCTCTGTCCAACTTGTGTTTGGATGGGAGACAAACTATTCCCTTAAGATGCAAAATTAAATTTGGAAAGTTGGTGAGGATTGCGAAAATTGCAGAATAAAGTGTACCACTCAGCAAAAAACTCTACCTCATACACTTATTATTAAAAATTACACCACACGGATAACTATTTCCTCTACAGTTAACATTTTCTTTTTATTCAAGAAATTCTCATTTTACATGAGGGAATTGCATGAAAAAAAATCCACAAAACTGGAACGATTAAACATCAGATAAAGAATTACTGGTCTTAACAACCAAGGTTTCAGTAGCTTCTGCACAAAACACATTCAGCCACTTCTAATTGGAAAAAGGATAGTCATCCAAGTACAAATGGATTATACATGTAAACAGTCCCAAGGTCTTTTCTTCTAAAACAAATTGCCAAAAAGTATGAGTACCACAGAACCCCTATAGAAAAAGAACTAATTCAGTTCTTATTTAAATTCCTTATCTTGCACCCAAATTGTTTTGTTTAGCAAATCAATTGCCTTGTAAAGCATCACACTTCAAATACATTGTTTCTATTCTGCAACATTTTCAGAGATAAAATGTATTTAAAAAATAAATAAAAATAAAATAAAATAAATAAAATAAAATTCAGTATTTATAAATTCTACCTTCATAGCAACTTCAAAATCAAATCTTAGGAGGAAATAGAGCATAAAATCCAGAAGGATAAAGCAAACTGGATATTTAGGCTGATTTCCTAGGGAAATGAGACCTTTCTATGGTCTTTGTCCCTTTATCTCCCTGACTCTAAACTATGCCAGCAACTTAGAAATTAGTTTAGTAATCTCAAAGAAATTTAAAAGGGCACTGGAAATGTCATGAAAGTCTAGGAAAAAGGTGGGGGGAAGGAAGAAAGAAAGAGAGAGAGAGAAAGAGAGAGTGCGTGCACAGAAGGGAAATCAGGCAAATTTCCTTGTTACTCCTTTGACTTGCTAACAGGTGGCTAGCTAATACTTGTAGTAACAACCTAATATTATCCTTATATATATTGGGATGACTGCTGTGGTCAGAGGGCAAAGACCACAAACCTGTGAGAGATTAGATTATCTCAACACTGCTGTTCATAAACACTAAGTTGTTTATTCTTTTATTTTTGTATAATACAGTTCCGTACTTCACTTTATAATCTTTTTTTTTCAATTATTGTAACTAAATCACTTAATACACTATGTAATAAAAACTGATTGAAAGGATTTAAATGTAATATAGAACTTTTATGATACCTGACCTTTCTGTATAGCTATTAAAGGAAACCAAGGATTAAGTAGAAACATTGTAGCTGAAGGTACTATGACAATCTGCAGCTGAAATAAATTATCATAGCTTCACTGATATTAGCATAACAAATTACACCAGCTGAGAATTTTGTATCGTTCGTACAAGCCCTGTACAAGACTTAAGTATATTACAGTGTTAATGGACCCCAACCCAAAACAAATTAAACATTTCACTGGTGTCATAATTTATTTAAATAAACTACAGTGACAATTCTTTGTCACTATCATACTACACAAGCTCTGGAATTGATCTCTAAACTGCGCCAGCAACTTAGAAATTAGTTTAGTAATCTCAAAGAAATTTAAAAGGGCATTGAAAATGTCATGAAAGTCTAGGAAAAAGGTGGGGGGAAGGAAGAAAGAAAGAGGGAGAGAGAATTCTTGGATTTAAAATTTTGTCATTGCTGAGTTCAGCAGAGAACCAAATCATACTCAACTAAAGGTAAAAGAAGGTGGTAGAATTGTTTGGTGGGTTTTGGTTTCTTGACCATTTTTTCTTTTGGTTTGGGGTGTTGTTTGCTTGTTTTTGTTTGATTGATTTTGTGTGGTTTTGTTGTTTTTGTTGGGGTTTTTTTCTCTCTTTTTCAACATGTGACGAGCAGCTGAAAATGTCTACGCATCATAAGCCAGTAGGCTATGCCCCTTATTTTCACATACTAATCAGCTTGAGGAAAACTTTAAGATATCAGCACTTTATTATTTGATTAATGAATTCAAAAGATTCTTATCTTACTTTTTATTATCACAACTAAAAGGAGAAAGACAGCCAAAAAAAGCAGAGTCTTGGGAAGCTAGGTTTGCAAAATCTAACAACAACATGTAAAAAAAAAATGACAGCATCCCATTAATGGGAATGATGCACTGGAATGAAGTGCTTGGGTAATACATTAGATGCTCTAAAACCATGCTATCAGTTTACACAAAATAATGACAGACAGGCATTAGAGTTTTAACTTTATTGATTTCACTTTTCAGTGTCCTAAAATACACTTCAATTTGATCATTTAGAACTGTGTACAAACAGAAGTAGTAAATTTCTGCTCATTTGATGAAAATATAAAAATTTTGCTTTTCTCTACATATTTTGCAAATGGTTTAAAAAATTAAGCAGTTTTAAACATCAAAAGAAATAGGAGAGCCCTTTTAAAGGGTAGCATCACATCCTAGTGAATCATTAGCAAATGACTAGCAAATTAGCTCATATGTAGGTAATGGACTTCATTCACAGTAAAGTAGAATATTAAAAAACCATAGAATAATGAACTATGCTTATTGATCCAACAATATAATAAAAAATATATTTTACATGCTATTTTTCTACAACTGTACGCTTATGTCCATTAAATGCATCAAGAACTAGTAATACTCTTGATGATAAAAACACTGGCCCATACTGATACCAGGTTATAGAATTTTGATCACTATTTGTGCATTTTTACTATTTCCATAGTAAAGCTACATGCAGCATGATAACTAGTAAAAACACTCAAAAGGAGAATCATGCTTTAATATGAAAATAAACCTCTACAGAAGGATCTGCATTAATTTATGCCATAATTTAATGAGCTTCAAATTTAGAAAGAATGAAATGTAGACACTGAAAACTACTACCCGAACTTCTATACTACCTGTCACAAAAGAAAAATCTGTGCTGAAAAATCTGTGCTGAAAGTTATCTACTGTACTGATTGCTTGAGAGCATTTGGTGCCCTTTGTTTAAAGTAATTATGCGTAAATAATTGAATTCGGCCTGACAAATATCTCTTTGATGACAGGGAAGCAATTTAACATTTTTGTTACTCAGTCTCACATACAGAATTAGAGAATTACTATTTACAGTAATCCAAATACACTGAAATTCAGGTATTTTGCGTGTAATTTGATTATTAAGATTTTGCAAGACTTACAGATCTTCTGTTCAACAAACTGGTTTGTTACATATTTTCCTATACAAAGTCTCAGTCTGACCATTCTTTGTCTAAATAAAATACCATAGAGCAACTACAGCAGTCTAGATTTAGTTGAAGCCATAGAACTATATGAAGAAAATAAATATTATTTATTATTTCACCTCAATATCTAAAAATTAATTAGGAAAAGATGAAATAAAAATATTTTCTTTCAAATAACAGAAAAGCATTTTAAACATATGCTTAGATACGTGTTCAAAATTAGCTCAGATACAGGACAGCAGGTGGCACTGGCAACATGCCAGTCTTAAAAAGTTGCATTTAACTAGTCCAAAACTGATCATATTACATCTGTATTATCTTTAATGTGAAGTTGTAAATGTACAGAACACGAGTTCATCTTTCATAACACTCTATCCTTCGGTGTAAGTGTTCCCTTTGATATTGCTACTTAGTATAGTTTATTAAGGTAGTTACAGAGACGGAATATCTTCACAGGGATGTATTCTGACAGGAAAAGAGCCAACAGGCAATAATTGCTGCTCATAAGAACAAAAGCTCTTTCCCTTAAGAACAATTAACACAGAGAGAGTTTGCCCACAGGACTGGTGGAATCTGCCTCATTGGAATTATTTAGGTTTGACAGAGCCCTGGATAACTTAATCTGTGGCCCTGCCTTTAATAAGAGACTTGACCAGATGTCCAGAAGTTCTTTCAATGCAGATTGTTCTGTGACTCAGTACAATTCTGCCACAGAATCCAGTACCATGCTGAGAATACTAGACACTGCTCCAAGTCAGCTGTAACATACACATGCACAGTAAGACATTCCTAACAAATAATACTACAGCTAGGAATTAACAACATGCTGTTAGCAGGGCAAATTAATCAGCTTTTTACAGCTTCCAGCTCCAGAGCTCGCTTATTTGGTGGAGCTTCAAACATGGTAATGGTAACTCTGCCTTTGAAGATGCACTTTTGCTCTTTGCATGTCATTCAGCCACACTGAAGAAAAGTAAAGCAAAGTATTCTTCATACAGGCTTCAGAGAAACCAGCCTGAGGTCCACACTTACATGCAAGCAGAGACTTGAAAATCTTATTTAATACTTACATTCTCTAACCCAAGGAGGACCAAGAGTGGTATTGTTGTCATTCCTCCTTGGATCCACTCTTCTAGAGAAACAGTGCCATCATGATCATAGTCAATTTCTTCCATCATTTCATGAAGAATCTACACAGTTTAATGAAAAATCTCATAAATTCCAATTTTTTATTATTATATTCTAATATAGCAACTTCTTGTTAGAATATGTGCAGATCTCCAACTCCCTCATCCACACACAAAAAGTAAGGGAAATATTATTTGTATGGCAGCTGTAGTAAAATGAGTATGGACAGTTCTGAAAATGAAGTGTCATGTTCCTATTTACATTTTATTATCATTGAAAGATCTCAAACTAAGTTGGGTTCCCTCTGTACTTGCAGTTACTTTTAAGAAACTTTCAGAGATGAGCCAGTTGTGTTATAAAAGTTAATTACTACATGCATTGAAAAAAACCCTTAAACTGTAGCAAGAATGTTTCACAGATTACATTCAATCAGCAAAATACTTGTAAAAGTGCTAACTGACAGTGCCATAGTGGAACACAGACTATTCTTATTTCTATCTTACTAACATATAGATTCACATGTCAACATGAAATATCACAAAATGCTATCTCTAGCAACATTAAAAAATTGTGCTAAAATGGATACTTACTGGACTCAGTTCAGTAACATCCCATTCAAGGTATTCTGCAACATGCATCATTTGAGCAATGATATTTTCCAGCTCCTACAGATGAATGAAAAGTATGATATTTAATGCAATATTATAAAGAAACATTCTACTGCAAAGCAACCTATAATTCAACCATATTGAATTCAGTGACACTGTTTCATCAATGTTCCTAACGAATGTCCTTTACACAGGAAGCTGTCCACTCAGGTGAATCTGCTTCAAAACATCAGGCATGGACTGCGAAGCATTCAGGGAGGTGAAATACATCCCCACAATTAAAGTAATTCAAAGTAGTAATAGATTCTTCTTTCCTAGCTATCTTTTGAGCACTGTTTTTACTATTTGATGTCCACGCTGTGATATAATGCTGTAATGATCTTTAAATTCCAGCACTCTAACAAACTATTTTTTTGACAGCTATTGCGTGGTTCAAAACTTTATAATGGAAATAAGGCATAAAGTGGATGCTATAAACTAATACGAAGTTTTCTTACCATAATGGTGTTGCAATTTCCCTTGATCATGTATCACTACTGTTCTTCTATACTCATACATACAATTTTGCTTAGTAAACATTTCCAGTGCTTACCTAGGATCACTCTGAATTCTCGTGTTGTCTTGGTTCCAGCCAGGAGCCAAGATAAATTTTTGCCATAGCCAGGAGAGGCATAGCTGAGACTTGGAGGTTATTCTATACCACTTCAAGTCACTGCTAGGTGCAGGAGAAAGGGAGTCTCTTCTGGAAAGAAAGGGGTCCTTCTGGTTGAGTACATGTGGGCAGCAGAGAGATTGGGTAATGCCAGTTCCAAGTTGGAGAGAGCAGTCAGGGCAGCGTGCCTGCAGTTAGGTAGGGTCAGGCTCTGTGGTGAGCATTTTGGATGTAATTTACTCTCTTTTGTACACCTTTATTACTAATATTGTTGCTGTTATTACTGTTCTTTTCCTTATATAATTACTGTTTCTAGTAAATTGTTCTTATCTCAAACTGTGATCTTTACCTTTTGTGTCTCCAAGTCTCCTCTCCATTCTGTTGCAGGAGTGGGAGAGGAGCGAGAGAGTGGTCTGGAGAGTCTCAGTGGAAGCCGTAAATTGAGGAGTACCATTCCTAAACCATGACAGCCTTATTTGGTGCCTACTGTGAGGCATGAAGGGTTGAGATAACAACAGATCTGCCCAGAACAGGCTGGAAACCAATTTTACTTCAGCATTTGCTGTATTAGGTACAGAGCCATTGATCACAATACTGCTTGGTTTGTTCATATGGGCATGGTACCTAACCCTGTATATATATTCCTTTATGTGCTCCTCGGGATGTTATTCTTCAGAGCAGGGAGAGGGATCAGGATTGCTTTGTTGATGTACTGTGGAATATCAGTTTATGACATGACATCAAGGGCCATGAGGGCCGTTTGGGATATGTATTCAGTGTTGCTGAATACCTACTCATACCTCAGGTACTACCTTTCGGAGTCCATTAAGAATCACACCCAGTCTGTGGGGGGACAGGGGAGGATGATTTTCCCTAGCTTTTCACACCCTCTTCCTCCTTCAAGCCTGTTACAACTGCATTTCAGAATTTTTAATTCCCTTTGGATGTTAAGGAAAAAATGTTCTTGTTGCTAAGTCTGCCGGTTTTCCTCAGGGTGATCCACACGATGTTTAGAGTTAAAAAAGAGATTTCCAGGGAGGTTGTTCAGAGGTCTGTCCTGAGGATGGATAGAGCCATGAGTGGCATGGAAAGCAAGAGAAAATGGGCCAGCTTTCAGAGGATTACTCTGTTCCAATGCTTTGGAAGTTCACCCCCGAACAACTCTGATAAAGTGGCAGAATATTTGAAAGAAAAATGCCGTGGCAGTTTCAGAGAGGTGCAAAGTTATACAGTGGGCTGGAGCCTGGCTACTGTTTATCAGACACTGCTTGATACTAGACAGCACCCTCAGGGGGAGGAGGAGGAAAGCAGACCAACAGGCACTGGGGCCAGTCAAAACTGCAGCTGAACCAGAGGAACCTGTGCTGGTAGCAGCTGTCCCTTCACAGAAGAAGAAACCCATGACAAAAATCAGTTCACTTAGTGAGGGATGAAGAGGAAGCAGGGGCTTCAGAACAGGAGGAAGAGGCAGGGCCAGAGATAATCACTTCATCCCTATCCCAGGGTGAGCTGCCAGATATGTGAAAAGATTTCAGCCGCCAGTATGTGCGTTATCATAAACTGGCCTGCAGGGAAAAATTTCCCTGTCACTTATGGGAATCAGCTCCTCTTCTTTACCAATCCACTCTATGCTATCTTGCTTCCAGGAGATAAAAAAGAAGAGGCAAAAAAAACAAAGAAAAAAAAATCACTGCCAATAAAATACTGCTTTCTGTTAATTAACAGAAAAAAATAGCTACATTTTTTTTTAATTATTGTTATACCTCTAATTTTTCTTCAAACATTTGGTTGGGCTACTCCTCAAAATTTGCCTTTAACATTGTTCCTCTGTTCTTCATAACAACGTGGAAGTTCTGACATGCCTCCACATAAATTCACTGTGTGACTCTCATACTTACTCTTTTTAATGAAATCTTTACAAACGGTGCTTTGAGATACACGTCCCAGCAGCATACTAGAATTTTTGGAATTATATTAATGTGTCCCCTACAGTAATATGATGAAAAATCAGAAGACTATAGAACAGGACTCCATGACAGCAGTGTCAACATCTGAAAATTTATACAGTAGTAAAAGCAGCAGCTTATTGGAAAAGAAAACTCAAGATATACTTTTCAAATTGTTGACTTTTTATCAACTACAGTTTATACTGCTTCTAATAATTCAGGATAAATATAAACTTGATTTGGATTAATGTATTTTTGCACAGGTATTCCATGATGACATACTCTTATAATGCATCAAAATACACAAATAACATTACCGAACTATCCAGGTATCCATTCCCATCTGTATCATACAAGCGAAACATAACTGAAAAGAAAACACAGAGACAGGGAAACTTGGTTAGAAAACATAGTAAATACCTTTTTTTTTTTTTTCATAAAAAACAACTCCAAACCAAAACACAAAACAACTAAACCTGAGTTTCAAAGAAAGGACAAATATTAACATTTACTTTTAATGATCGCTCTAACTGCAGACTCACCACATAAGTTGTATTATGTGAGAGGTTCACTCAGCAACTACCAGTGCCTCCAACAAGACATATTAGCTGGACAGTGTAATTGCACCTTTCCCACATTGTCACTCCAGAAGCTAATTTGGCCTGTGAACTTAATTTTTGTTCCTTCTAGAGATGATCTGTAGTCATGGTGAGTACTCCCAAAAGGCCCTTCTTTGTCATCTCACCAAATATTGGATAACATACAATTGGTCATGCAAATATTGATAAACCTGTTTAAATTTTAATAATACTATCCTACGCCCTTGGTAGCAGCTATCACTATTGAATAGTAATATTACTTTAGAAAGTACTTTTTGACCAACTAAATGAAACAGATGATTAATTTTTAAGTATCTAATCATTCCAATCCAACAATAAATATTCCTCACAAACTGCCAGCATGGCTTCTCCCAGAACCTAACTTGCTTCATCAATTTGAAAATGTATTCCCAACATTTTTGGAAGTCACCCAGAAAAGAAGATGCACTTTGAGAATATCCAGAAAATATATACTTTCAAGATTGTATCAAGACTTGATTCCAGTGACAACAATGGGTAAGTCTACCAAGATATTTGAAAGCAGCTTCCTCAGCTGATCATATACTGCATCAGACTGCAGAGCAGAAAGAAGTCTGAAGCTTTGGTAGGAAATACTGTTAAAAGACTAAAGATGAAACCCAGAAGCCCACATATACCTTGCTATTTGTCCCTACTTTCTGGGACAGTTTGCCAGAGCTCTGAAATCTAAACACTACCATCCCCTTCAAAAGTGCTAATTTTTTTAGCGCTAGACCAATTTTTTAGGGATGAAGAAGTCAACCCATGTTGAGGTGTTTACAGGACACTGTAATGCTGTCACTGACAACAAAACCCAATCAATCTGCTTACAAACTGTCTTATCAGATGTTTTTGGAAACATAACATATGACCTATTTAACAGTGAAGAAACCCAGCACGCTGGATCCACAGCAAATGCTGTTACAGTCCAATAAATTCTGCAAGCAAAGTTTATAATAGTCTTCAGGAAACACTATAATGAGAAGTGAGAGAAAATTCTTAGCAATTAAAAAGTAAAATTCAGAAAGAATTTGATTATTTTGGGACTTACAGCAAAACATATTTAACTGTTATATGGATTGGCTTGCTTCCCTTATATCCTCCATCTGGGGAATAAATTGTTCATCTAACTGTGGGGAAAAATGGTAGGTACTACACTGCTCTACCACTTCAACAATTTTTGCCACTACATTGCACTGCTCTTAAGAGCTGTAATACGAGATTGATGATGTTTACTGTAGTACACTGTTTAAAGCCACAAAGGCCCACTATTCATTAGTTACAGGCTAAGAAAGCCTATAAAAATCTCCTTCTTTGCCTGGAGTTACATAGCAGAGATACTTCAGTGTAAAACAACAGTTAATGTCAAGTCACCAGAGATTGGTGCTGCCCCCGCTAGTAGGCCTTCTACCAAAACTCAGAGCTTGACAGCTAATATTATCTGACAAAGGTACCATTAAGCATTCAGTTTCCATAGGGATGAATCACTGAATCACTCAGTGATAAAGTTCAAATCATTTGGTTCTCTTTCCTCCCCCTCTGTGATTCTAATACAGTAGTTAAAAGAATGTTTTACAGTTATCATGAAGGCAAAGTTTAGCATTTCCATGATCTTTACCTACTCCAGAGAAGTAGTGCTTACAACTTTTTTTTCACTTAACATGAATCAGTAGTTCTAATCAGACATTTAGAACCAGACATTAGCATAATTATAACTGTTTCACTTTGTAGCAAACAAGTCTTTTCAATTACAAATGTATTGGGTAGTAAAAAGGCTCAATCTGTGTTCTTGGCTAGACTCTGAAAAACTATGCTACTGGTCTGGCATGCAATCTCTTTTCTATTCACACCCTGCTAAATATTCATGTTCTCACTGATTTACACACTCTAGGAGAAAAAAACAACAACAAAATGATAAAAACAACCCAACAGAAGCTCTGATGCAAACTGCAGAGCTCAAGTCACCTTTTCCCATCCCCTTACCTGATAGCACTCTATTTCTATTACTAGACAGTAATATGACCTTAAAGGATATCTTCTATTCTTCTAATGTATCTCTGTGAGGACTGTGGGATTTTCTTTATATTCAGGTCATACATAGATTAGAAATAATAGATATGTTGAGCATGTCAAATAGGTGAGGTTTGTACTGCTTAAGACCTCTAGAAATACATTGTTAATAGGTTGGAAAATCCATTTAACTGCTGGAATATTTGTAAATCTATGAAAATCTGTAGATCATACAGATCCAAAACCTAAGCATTATTTTCTCTTAGTGTATTTTATCCTCCAGCTTATACCAGATTCTATTTGAAAGCACCACTTTCATTTTCTGCTTGTCCTGAAGTAAGTTTCCAAACACTCAGCTGTGATTAATTTTTTCAATTTTTGTCAACAGAGAAATAATAAAAAAATCATGATTAGAGATTAGTATTAATATTAATGTCAACAACTCCACAATAAGCAATTTTTCTTTTTTCATTTCATTGTTGAAAATTATAATTTACCTTACAGCCACAGTATCTACTGCTATAAAACTATTTCAGACAAAGGGCGAAATTATACCATTAATTTATAAGAAGAATTCAACTAAAATCAAAGGGAAAGTCTGTATACTAATGGTACAGTATAAGCTAAAATTTAGATACTAAAACGTGACAATACATGGTATATTTTAAGTCTGTATGACTGTACCAGGGTGAACTTATGCTGATACTTTTGGTCTGTGTTTGGCCCCAGCCACCTGTAGTAGTTTATATTCTCTCTGCCAAGTTCATTGATAAAACAGTGAATTCGTCCTTGGAGGGAGAACTTCTGCATAAACTGTTTTAATTGGTGTTCTGTGATTGGCTAATTGTCCTCCAAGGTCGCTGGAAGGAGAATTTGAGGAGGAGGAGGATGAAGTAGCGCCCCCAGACTCAATTAAGAAAGACCCCCAAGGCATACTGCGCGTGCGTGCGGGGATTTCCAAAGTTCTCGCACATGCGCTGAAGGGATGCACGTACATAACCAAGAGGGTGGGACTGATGGCCTCTGGCTGGGCCGTGCTGGCCACACCTGGGAGGTTGAGGTCACTCAATTAATTGTATAAAAGCAGACAGTGCTTTCTTGGAGGTGAGCTAGCTTCACACCAAGGACAACATTGCCTTTTGACAGGGACGCCTGCCAGTTTGTGAACTTACTGACTCGCCAAGGATGCAGCCTCTGCTATGCGTAATTATAGGCATGCTAGGTCGGTAAGATAACTTTATGGGCAACAGCTGGGTAACTGGGGAGGTCATGCTGGGGGCTTATTTCTCTCCTCCTTCCTCCCTTTTGGGTTTGTTTTGTTGGCCACCTCTTAGTAATAAATATTGGTTTTTGTTAAGCTTTTAATGGTGTCATGGTTTTCAGGATTCAGTATGTTCCGAACCCTCCCTAATACAATAACAAAGTAGAAAATAAACCTATAAAACAATATGCCCATAATTATACACAGTAAATACAAATGACCTTGAATATGCAAGTACTGTACACCTATCAGATCATGCTCTCTCCCTCCTAAATCATATAGAGCACAGTCTTTTGCACATGTAGTTTCTATTGCAGGAAGTTCATGGAAAATTCCCTAAACTATAATCATCACCTGCTCCTCTGTCTCTCCTCCTTTTCATTGTACCAATTCCTGACACCAGGGGAGGCAACTAATCTACATTTCATGTTATGGTTTGTGCACTGAGCTCTTCAGAGCTCTGATAAGGCTTGCATAACTTGCTACCGTAAAACAGTTATTAGACTGTAAGCTAAAATCAATCCTAAGAACTTAGTTTTTCTGTGCTTGTGTTCTGAATGCACATTCATGCGTACATTCTCGTATTCTAATCATGTGATACCAGACTGGTATCACCAAATCTGGGGAATAGCTGCTTATAATCTTTGCTGAGGCAAAGGTATCAATGATCCTATAGTACAAAGTTGCCATTGTAAGCTAACTACAGGTAATGAAACATCAAGATACTTCAACAATATGTGGTCATGTAACCATGTAATGAATTTTTACTCTGACAGAAGCCTACTGTTTCCATGTCCTATCATACTGAATGTTTACTTTCCATATTAGAACCCGATCCCACAGATCTATAGACAGACTAGCTACATATATTGAAGTATATTTGATCTCAATGAGGACATTTTTCTTCAAATCACAAATCGAACTCAAAGTTATTTTTTAATAGGTAGAGGTGTTGTGCTTTATTGACTCAGGCCCCTAATTAAAAAAAAACATTTCTAACTTCCCATGTCAAACACTCATTCCCAACAGTGAGGCAGACTTGGATCATTCTTGGCTTTTCAGTATTCACTAACGTTATAGAGCCCACAGCCTACACTAACTATTCTTTTTTTGAATTAGCTTGTTTAGTACAGATTATTCACTCCATCTATATATCTCCAGGTATCCTCAGTATATATCATTTGTTTTTCTCAGATCTGATGCTAATCAAGGGATGACAGTATAGAAAAGATTATTTTAACTACAGAATGTACAATCCTTACTCCTCATCTTTATGAGTGCTAGATAGAGCAAATTTAGTTAAAATCTCATCAAATTAATACTATTAGAAAGATTAAAAAATAATTTCTGCAATAACAGTCACCTAGAACCATATTTTTATAATGCAGCTGTCTCAAAACTGATTCTTAAACTCAGAAACAGAACATTTGATGACCTGTGGAAATAAATATATAAAATTAACTTTAAAAAGGAACATACATTCTAGCTTGTCTTCTGGTCTTCCTCTTTCTAGCAGTGACAAATAGCAAACAATATCTTTCAGCTGGATCATGTCGGGTAAATGTAAGTTGGCAGGAGTAGGAGGTCTGGATGTAGAGGTACCTTTGTTAAGTCTCAGACCTGGAAATAACCAATAGCCGTTGTTAGTCTTCACACATGATACAAGCAGAAAATGAAAATAAAACTCTTGCATACATGCATCTTTGTTTTATGTGAATCTCAGATTACTTCTTCATCCAAAGTTCTAAACAATTTGTGTTCATAGTTTATCCAGCAAAGGTAGAATTTAAATGATAGTGAGGTTTTAAAGTGTTGTACAAATAAAGCAAACTATCAGAATACCAGCCCAATTATGGGAATGACATAACCTTTTTTTCATTTGCATTGATCTGATGTCATTTGGCTATAAACCAATTTGGTGAATAATTTTAATCTACTACATTACATGTTAAGTATTAAAACAATCCCTGCCCAACTCTGTATCCACTGCCTTGTGCTTGTAGAATCTTCATTTAATTTATAAATTGACACCGACTACACTTATTGAAGATGTTTTAGTGTCAAACTCTGCTAACACCCAAGTGTATTGTTAGCCCAAAAACACAGCCACATGCATGTCAGTGCAGTACATATTTAAAACATGGAAGCCTCAGTGACAAACTACTGAGGAAATAAACATAGAATTTAAATATGTGCTCAGACATTATGATTAACAGCAGTTCCAGTGTACCACTTAGAATACAAGTTTCAAAACTGCCAAACTTCTTTTGTTTCAGGACAACGTTAGTATGACCAGTCCTGATGATATTACTGGAATCTGCAGGATCAAAGTTGGAAAAACTGGGAAGGACAGCAGAACACGGAGAAAGCAGTAATAAAACTTTTATTACAAGTTGTTATGTTTCTTTTGATTTTAGTGATGTTAAAGATGAAACTTTGCAAAAGGATATACTGTTCTTAAAAATTTTCTGTAACTAATTCAGTACAGATTCATCATTGCACACATAACCTGAATACATAATTTCTCTCATCCATTTGTCTTGAACAAGTTAATTACTGTAGCAAATGGAAATAGAATTTTGGTGTGGTTTTTTTCACTGCTCTATTTTTACTTTGAAATACTTCATTGCATTCTGAAGACATCTTTAAAAGTCTACATGTTAAAAGGTAGTTCTATATGTTAAAACAATACATGCTTACACATGTTAAAACAATAAAATTTGGTAAATAAGAGCAAATTGGCACACAGAAAATGTATCTTGGAATCAAGTCCATGTTCGTGGTTTCAGGCAAATAATAAACTGAAAATAAATATTTAAATGAATAAAAGTATTTAACAGGGCAGTGTTATATTTAATGAGTTTGCATGTCAGTTAACTGTCATTAAAATTAAGACATTATAAAATGTTACCCAATTCAGATGCTAGCTTTAATCACAAAATTTACACAAATAGTTCGCATTCCAGTCATGTGAATATTATTCACAGAATAAAAAGTATTTCAAAACTTGGGATAACTCTTTTCAAAAACATATAGTCCTGACATCCAAATGAAAAGTAATACAAATTTTAAGGTATCTTTTAACTTATCATCAGCTGCAAGGTACAGGTTAAATTATTACTTCTTAAACAGAGGTGGGAGAGGCTGACTGCAATGTTCTGACTTACAGATGACTCGCAGTGCTTCTGCTTACCTGGCATCTGTTTCCATCTCTCTTCAGATGCCTTAACTGAAAATACAATTTATAAACAGACATGAGTGGACCAAAAGACATTATGTGAAAAACAAACATGTACCAGAAAGATTGATAAACTCTACTACTTTTCTTGTCATCTTCTCTAGGTCTCATGTATCTTTTCATTTTCCAGAAGAATGTCAAATGTTTCTGTCAAATTTATTTTGCAGTACCAGTCAGGTTTTTTTCACTATTAGCAACATTTAAAATTTACTAGATATCCTAAAACAAAAGTTTGCATAATTCCCATTTGCACATCAAAATGTACTAATGCACAGTTTTTCTCTTTAAATGCTACAAATTATCAAGACACAACATTTAGTTTAAATCTCATGCAATTGAATTACAATATAAACAGTATATTTTCAAGCACAAATAACTCTTTCATGAGGTGAACAGAATTGCCTCTCTGAACATGTTTTTGATATAACAATTTATCAAACAGTCCTCCTGGTATTACGTTATATACAAATGGAAGATTCCTAAGCTGGTATTTTGTTATATTATTTCTAAAGTCCTTAGTAACTGAAAAAGATGAAAACTAACTACAAAGTGGGAAAAGTTTGTGCAGGAGAAAAAAATTTTTGGAAGAAGCATTCGAGTAAGAAACTTAGCATACAGTTTAAACAACAACAATAATAACAACTTTAACAATGATGTTATAATAATTATCATTATTATAATTTTATCACGCATAAGAATAAAATATATGAGAGAGAATTATAGTAAAAATGAAGAAATTCGAGTATGACCTATACTGGGCAGAACTTATCTGTAAATCTGGCAATGACCTAAAACCAGTTATTACAATTTCTACATATGAAGTGTTAAAATCATAGAAATACAACACCAGAATGATAAAAGATGATTTTTTAAAATAAAAGCTGCTAAGTATGTAGGATTACTACCAACAGAATCACACCTAGACAATTAAAAGAAACAGCAGTAACTGGGCACAGAAACAATAGATCTCCATCAGGAGCCTCGGGTGTGAAGCTCTGAAGGCTTCTACTTGTTTATACAGTAGAGTAGGCAGCAAGATCATGTAACCATACCAATCTGATTAGCATTAACATGACAAAGACCGTCCACTTGGTGTCTCAGCTGCATCATTATTATGAATTAAAAAGATTAAACCATTTAATTTCCATTTCTTTTCACAGCATTTTTTATCATGAGTGAGTTAGTTTCTCTAATTTCACAAATACCAGAACAACCTCCCCCACCAGCACATAGTTTAGAACTCCATATATTTAAAGCTATTAGAAGTAAAATAGCAGAGTGAGGGAACCTTTAGCTCTTATATTACTGTGATTTTATCACTTACCTCCAGAAAGGTGCTGTGGCTTGTTTTTTATTAATGGGCTGCAGTGAGATATTTTGTTACTAAATGATGTAAAAAGATGTTCAACAAAATCATCTGGTAACTCTGCCTCCAGAAAAGTCTTCATGAACAGCTTGAACCCCTCTAAATCAATTGTCTAGAGTGAGGGGGAAAAGAAAAAAAAAAGTGAATGCTTTGTAAAAAAATTCATACTAATCTATCAAATAATATTCTGTTAACAAAAACTTTGGACCATATTTGAAACACTGATTTCTGAAGACATAGACTGGCACAGCTATTCTTGAAAGTGATTATTGAATTAAGCATTACTTTGAAAACTGACAGTATTGCTACAATACCTCAGTATGAGATAGCCCAGAGTAAATTCAGAGCCCTTATATCAGACCCTGAAATCAAGTTTCATGCTCTCTAGTTTGTTGATTAGAATATGGCTTAACAGCACATACAAAATTGCAACTAAAGGCACCTATGGAGCTCACAGGGATGTACTTAGCATATCTTATCTTTTCTATAATTAGACAAAAAGCAGGGGATTTTTGGATGTCTAATTCAGAGAGTTGAAGTCCTTCAGTCTTTTCCTAGGTGGTAACATGTTCTGCTGGTGTTTGTCAAAGAGTTAGTAATCACCCTATTTTAAATAGGGTAGGTCCCAGTAGTTAAATGAGAGTGCTGAGATATACAGCATTACTTACAGGGGGGAAAAAAACAAGTTGACAAGTTGTTGGTTCAAAACTTTTGTTATTTACTTTAATTTGGCTTTGTTTTTGCCATCAAGGTAAGAACTGATTAATAAAACTCCATTGATGACTGATCCTGTTAAGATAGCACTGTCTGTTTTAATTAATAAAATGAATCGTAAAATATCTCAAGTTGGAAGGGATACATAAGGATCATTGAGTCCAACTCCCTGCTCCTCACAGGACTACCTGAAACTAAACCATATGACTGAGAGCGTTATCCAGATGCTCCTCAACCTCTGACAGGCTTGGTGCCATGACCACTTCCCTGGGAAGCCTATTCCACTGATCGACCACCGTCTCAGCGAAGAACTTTTTCCAGATGTCTGATCTGAACTTCCCCTGATGCAACTTCATTCCATTTCCTTGTGTCCTGTTCCTGGTACCAGGGAGAGATCAGCACCTCCCCCTCGAGGAAGGTTTAGAGTGCAATGGGGTCACAGCAATGTGAAGCATTATGATCCCATCCTGCTAATACCGAACTACTAAAGATAAAGTTATCCTGAAAGATATTGACACAACAGCATACTTAGCAATGGTGCTACTCATTACATATATGACTTTAAAACAGCTTATCATTAATCTGTAAAAAATAGCGTTATTGTCTTTGTTTCTAGATCAAACAGAACAGCAACCTGTCATCATTAAAAAATTAAGAGACAAAGCCAAATTATACCACAAAATTGACTTTGAGAGTTCTTCCCATGCTTCAGGAAGACTCCATTTCTCCATAGAAAACTCTAGTGCAACTCCTTCAGTTTAAGAATCATCTTGAAACCATGCCAGAAAAAAAGAAAATCAAAACTAAATTTTCCAAACACCTCAGTGAATTTGACATCCGAGTCACAGTATAAATAATTTTTTACAATTATTTTAAAATCATTGTAACACTCTGGAGCAGAGATTTCTCTTCCCCTGACTTCTTTGATTTATTTTTTTTATGTATTTATGAGATGTAAACATTTTATTCCAACATGAAACAAGGTTTTTCCATTAAGACCAAGACTTAACTGCCTCAGGTTAATGTTTTAAATGTGTATCAATACCCTTATGAGGGACCAGCAGCATAGATTGCAAAATTTGACTGCTCTTGTGCAAGTCATCATTATTAGGAATGAAAGCTTGGCAAAGGGGTATCTACGCTGAGCTTCTAATACAGAACTTCATTGGAGAAAGAAGTTCAGTGAAACCAATAAAAATCTCACCTCTTGAAGATTAAAATAGCAGAGACCTAAAAAAATAGTGCCGACAATGCTCAAGCTGGGTGTAAAATGGAAACAATCAACTTGGACATGGACTCACTATCTTTGTCTCATCATAGAATTCTGACCACACTTTTACTTTGGCAAATCATATTCTGTTTCACTCATGCTACAAACTTCATATTTTTTCTCTCTAATAGTTACCAACATTTAATTCACTGTGTATAAGTTATCAAACCACAACGGCAAAAGGAGTTGTATCAGCATCCAAGTAAACCGGTGATTAGTCTACACTATATAAATGTATTTTTTAACTGCAAGCATAACAAATACATTAATCACTAAATCAACCAACTTTAGCAGTGTGAAATTACTTTGTTAGATTGTGCATTAATGAAATGTGTATTAGCTACTTCACTAAATCATATACACAAAAAAAGAATAGCTAAGTGAAAAAGGAAAGCAAAACCATGGATGGACATGTAAAATATCTTTTCATTACATCAATATTTTCTTTATTTACTTTGTCTGTGGATTTTATGTATATACTGCTAAAAATATTCTTTGAATATTTTTAATGCCCAAGTGACATTGGTCCTCCAAGCTGCCAGCCATAACTAAATCCCTAATGCTACATTTTTTCCACTTTTGAGTTCAGAATTATGCCTGGTAGATATTTGGATAAATAAATAAGGTTAAAATTCTGTGCTTCTTCCTACTGAAGTCTCTCTTTCTCAAAAACCTTCAAACTTTTCAATATTTTGTAATGATGGTCAAACTATAATTTATGCCAGTGTCCTCCAAGATGTGTGTTCCAAACTGCCTCATGTTTTCTGGCCAGAAAAGACAACAGATAGCAAAGAAACACATGACTTGGTTGCCACATCCTGACTGCCACCAATCAGGGTGCTTAGCAAAGAACAAAGGAAAGTGGGTGGTTGTTCCACAGCCAGATTTCTTCACTTGAAAGTGCTTTATCTTCTGTTCTATCGTGCTCTGTGACCTGTAGTCCCTAAGGGAAGAAGCAACATTCATAGAACCAGAGTTCAGACATTGCTCATCCAAAAGCTTTTAAACTATGTTGAAAGTTAGTTAGGAGCTGGTAAGTGGTTTGAATACATTTCATAAATGCTTCAAACAGCCCAAAATTCAGATGCAAAACCACATGCTGTATGTAAAGAATGTGCAAAACCAGTCCTGCCCAAAATCACAAAATCTGTGATTCTAGTACTCCATAGATGAAAAACATTTTAAAGGACCTAACATAATCAGTGAAGATTATCCTATTAGAACTGAACTCTAAAGTAGTACAGTCATTTCTGGATATATGTTTTTGTAAATGAATATACAGCAAATAATAGAACTAAGATAGACCACAGCAGATCTAGAAGTAGTTTAGATTATCCATCTAGCTTTCCAATGAAAAAGGGGTGAGTTTTAAAAAAAGCAGTTCACTTTTAAATTGATTTCAGTACTTTCTCTATCATCTCTCTCTTACTGTAATATACATAACCTATTACACGACTGTAGAAAAATGGAATAATTTCTTAAAAGAAATCCTGTGAGGACCACTGTAGAAGACACTGAGAGGTGTTAGAGTATTCTCACCAGGCAGAGGTTTTAGTATTAAGTAAGTTCATTTAGAACAGAACACCGAAAGATACAAAACATTTGCTCAGCTTAATTTAAAATAACTTTCACAGGAGAGTGAACAACACAATATTATAAACATTTCTCTATTCTGCAATTATACACTATTTTTCTTTTTCCTCATGGAACTTTACCCTTCTGAAATATGGAAATGCTGCAGCAAGTAGCTACCCTTTCTTTAATTACTTACATTTCTCCCCAGCCCCAACCACTTTTCAAAGGTACTGCACAATGTTTTGGTAAGCAAGACAACAAAATAAGGAAAGCAGAGGACAATAATCTTCCATCTTTACATGCATCATGCCCAATATGCTATGTAAACCACAATATCTTCTTTTTAAATCTCACTATCAGAATTTTTCGGATGAAAAGTTCAATAAATTTTGATATGGTTTGAAAATAATTTATGTTAATGAATTCTCAAACATTAATTAAACAGTTCAGATCAATAACATCAGAATAATGTACAAGCCATAATGGTGAATGTTGTTTTCTTAAGCACACAGGCTAATTGCTTAATTTTCAACAGTTGCTTGCCTTCCAGAAGCTCCAGCTGAATTTAAATGAACCTGAGAGAGAAGGATTTAGCATTTCAGAAGGCATTTTCCATGACGTTTCCCAAGTGAGAGGATGAGAGCATGAGAGGATGTACCAAACTGACAACAATTAGCCTGGCACATGAATTAATTCATTCCATTTCACAAGAGACTGCAAGGGCATAGGGAGATTATGATCACAAGTTTAGGGATCTCAGGAAAATTTTCAACATAACAGAGATAAAATAGGACATAGTTGAATCAGGGGAACATGAAAGAACTTTCAAATAACTTGGCCTAAATCTTCTGAGGAGAGAGGGGAGTCAAAAGGAAGAAAAAAAAATCTATGCAGTTTTAGCTTTGACTCTAATAAAAAGGGTACCAAAATCCTTGCTTGTAGGTCACAGAAAGGTATGTTTTTTTATACTAGTCATACATAACTGGATTCCTATTTTTATATATCAAACATCTGATTCACCAAGTTTATTGGAGCTCCTGTTCTTATGTCTTACAAAAAGAAACTTTACAAAATAAGATTTCATAAATCTTTATAATCTTCTGTATTACTGGGTAACAAAACTTCATTTGGTAATGAAACATTTTGATATAAGCCCAAAGAAATACACATTCAAAAGCCCCATTGAGTTTCAGCTAATTTAAACCATAACATCCTTATAAAATTAATTTTGTTAATTCTTTTAGAAGTAGTCATTATTATCAGTTCCTATTTATAGATTTTATAATTGGTTCCAGTTAACTGAATTTAAAAAAAAAAAAAGTTATATATTCACCTTGGAGAAAAGGAAAGGAGAAGAGACAGAAGGCATAAGCAACACTGCATAATTTTAACTTTACAATTATTTTTAAAAAATAAAAAGTGTAAACCAATAAACAACTTTCATCTTTTCTGAAAGCAAACATGAAACTGGACTCACTATGGCTCAATGCATAGGGAAATTAAAAATGCGCATCTTTTCCTCCATGATAAATTGTCAGGGAAAATCCATAAAA